AGCATAGACGTTCTAGGGTCGGGGTCGATTCGGGCGGCAGACGGGAGTGGATCTACCGGTACGCTAAGGCCTAGCCGAGTCGGACCCCATTTAGGTACATAAGGGGTAGGAAGCTATAAGCTCCCCCTTCATCTTTTTTGTATCCTTCGTAGTAGACCTATAGGATAGAATACAGCATCACCTCCGACTCGCACTCCCATATGCACCTACGGAGAGCCGTATTCCCTGTGTCCTTACACCACACAACTGGGTAGTTAAACTGACAAGCAATGGATGGACAAACAATGAGACAGTTCTAGAATGGTTGAAACACTTCGACAAACATACTGCTGTTCGTGCAAGGGGTCCATATCAAGGCTGGTGTTAGACGGGCACGAGAGTCATGAATCGACCGAGTTCCAAGAGTACTGCAAGGCACACAACATTATAACTCTTGGACTACCACCCCACTCGTCTAATTTAACCCAGCCACTTGATGTCGGGTGCTTTAGTGTGTTGAAGTGGGCATATGGTCAGCAAATTGAGACCTTCATTAAGGCTCATATCAACCACATTACCAAGGTCAAGTTCTTTCTCGCCTTTAGAGCAGCATATCTGGAATCCATGACAGCCCAAAATGCCCAGTCTGGGTTCCGCGGAGCTGGTTTAGTGCCTTTCAATCTGCAAGCTGTGATTTCAAAGCTTCACGTGAAGTTACGGACTCCAACTCATTCTAGACCCTCTACTGCCAATAGCAACCCTGGGGTCTCCCAGACCCCTTCCAATCCTACTGAAGCTCTTTCACAAACAACCCTCATTCGAAATCGAATTGCCCGTCACCAAGGAAGCTCGCCAACTCCACTCTTCGGGACAGTTATTGCGTTGGCAAAGGGTACAGAGCGACTAGCACATGAATACACCCTTCTGTCTGCTGAGGTACGTACCCTTCGAGCAGCCAATGAAGCCCTTAGCAAATGCCGCAGGGCTAAAAAGGCTCATATCCATGGAGGAGGTGCACTTATAGTAGAGGATGCACAGGATATTATCGCACAGAAAGATGTGGATGAGCAGGTACGACGTGACGTACGTGTGGTTGGGGGTAGTCGCAAGGAGGGGCAACCGTCTAGGCGATGCTGTGGGATCTGTGGAAAAGCTGGTCATAATGCACGAACTTGTCAAGAAGCTATAGATATGTCTAGTTCATCTGATTCCGCTTAGTTATAGTTAATTTAATATGTTATGGTTGATTTATTAATATTCAAAGTGGAATGCTAAGAAAAAGTGTCTGAGGTACTGATATGTCCGACGTACTGATATACCACGTTATTCATGATTATAAATCATGATTATGATTATACGCTTTATAAATAATCATGATTATGATTACGACTAAATAATCATGATTATAATTGATTTTCTAACCCTGGAGCTAGGTAGTTTAAGGGTGAGAAACAGTTTAGACTTGGGATTTGATTGCTTAATTGAGTAATTTACTATACATTTTAGATAAGCGTTAAACATCTCAATATTATAAACGCTATTAAGAATAAACACGTTACAAAGGTATTCTTTTATTGTTATATAACGTACATGTATAGCGAAAGCGCCAAACAAGCGAAAGCGCCAAAATTATCTACCCTCACGACAAACATTGCGATAAATCTACCACAACATTAGAAATCAATTGAAACTACTCGGAGTCCTCTTCCTCAGAGGTGTCTATTACAATCTGACACGTGCGCGCATTGTGCCCAGTCTCACCACACTTGCCACAGCGACGGGCACGGGTTTCTTCCCTTGGCTTCCGACCACGGCTTGCCCTTATTTCCTGCTCTACCTGCTGCACAACATCCCTCTCATCCTGTAGCTCTTGCGCCCCTTGTTGACTAAGTGATCCTCCTTGCTGTAGTCGTGTTTTCCTAGCTCTCCGGCGCTTGCTTAGTACTTCATTTGCCTGTCGTAGGTTTTGGTTCTCTCCCTTTAGCAGTGCTAATTGATGCATTATTTGCGATGCACCCTTTGTAAACTGGTCAACAGCTGCATAGATTGAGGTTGGAGAGCTATTTTGATGGCGTGAAATCCGAGTTTTAATAAATGTAGACTGTGACATAGCTTCAATTGGGTTGTTTGGTGTCTGAGAAACCCAAGGTTGAGCAGTACCTGGGCGGGAGCTTGGAGGCGTTGGTGTCCTTAACTTAAGATCAAGTGTAGATATCACTCTCTCAGGGTCAAATGGAAGAAGCCCTGCCCCTCGGAACCCGCCTCAAATGTTACTTTCCGTCATTGTAGTGTTAAATGCAGCGTGGAAGGCAGGAAAGAAGTCATCCTTTGTAATATGAGAAATATGAGCCTGCATCATATCTTCAATTTGCCGACCATAGGCCTGCTTTAACGGGCCGAAACAGCCAACATCAAGTGGCTGGAGTAGATGAGAAGAGTGAGCAGGCATACAAAGCGTAATAATGTTGTGTTCCTTGCAGTACTCCTCAAACTCATCTGAGTGGTGGCTCTCATGACCATCAAGGACTAACAAGCGATAACCACCAACACTCCGGGCCTTTGTATGCTTCTCAAAGTGCTGAATCCAATCCATGCCTCTCTCGTTTGTAGTCCAGCCATTTTCAGTAACAGAAATCACCCAATCGCTTGAAAATCCACTATTCTCATACCAAGATGTAAGGTGGTTTTTGCCTGCAACAATGATAAATGGTGGTACTGCCCAACCTTGAGAACTAACGCCTTGGATTACTGTAACCCATTCCCGATTACCAGGCTGTACCTTCTTTGCTTTTGCCTGCCCGTCTGAGCTTGTTACAACCATAGCAGTTGAGATAACGCCCATCATAAACCCAGTCTCATCAAAGTTGTAGATATCTGCTTCATCGATACCATATTTCGCAATTGTGTTACGCACAAGCTTAAACCAGCCATTAATAACTTCTGGATCTTCGCACTTAGCCCTCTGGTAGTCGTATTTGCGCTGAAAGCGTGTCTGGAGCTCTACACGCCGCTTAACAAAGTTTGAAGCCCAACGCGACCCAACGCGTGACGCGTCGCGTGTTGCAAGTAGTCGACTTGCCATATCTTCAACAACAGACAGCCGAGGAGGAAACCCTTTGGCAGCTAGGTCGAGTATATACTGAACAAGGACGGACTCCTCTAGGTTAGTTAATTTCCGTGAGTTGGCTTGGATATCGCGTCGTGAAGGTACACCTTCTAGACGACGACCTAGCTTGCGGTGGTCCACAGAATAGATCCTAGCAGCAACTCGAAGGCGTAACTTTGGGTCGCTTTGCATAGCCTGGATAGCTAGCACTAATTGGCTTTCATCGTTTTTATGGGGCATGTTTTGTTGTTGAGGAATTTAACATTTAGTTGGGGGGTTTGGTCACCGCATCATTTTGGCGCTTTCGCTTGTTTGGCGCTTTCGCTATACATGTACGTTATTCTTCTTCTTTAGTACTGCTAGTATCAAAGCTATATATTTTAACTTTATACAATGTAAGGACATAGGGCACCTAGCTTATAGTAATAGCATATAGGAGTGCAAGTTAGAGGCTAAACAGGTGCTGTCTTATAGGTCTACTACAAAGGATACAAAAAAGATAAAGAGGGAACCCTGTTAGTTAGTTTCCCTTAATACCTAAAATGGGTCCAACTTAGTTAGACTGCCCTTGTCCTTTATACATAACTACTATAGGTCTATATTAGCACTAAGCCTAGTTAGTACAACATAGTAACTATAATAGCCCTAAGTTAGGTCCTTTGAAGGTCTAAGGGAGGAGGCATCCTTACAATCTTCCTCTTGATTATATAACATATAACCCTAATGACGATGACGAGTTTCCAAGTCTAGAGCAGCTTTCGTTGTACGTAGAAAGGAAGCGTCTTTTAGCAAAAGCGAAACAGACATCAATCAATAGTGAAAAAGCCAAGAATCAAACTCAAGGTGACAGCCCGGTCGGTTGCAGCGGCTCAACATCAAGCAGTTGTCAAGGTTAGCATACCGAATTTTTCTATTTTTTCCCCATTTTATTATAAATACTTGCTAATAGCATTACAGATCCTATTTAGATCAGTAACGATGAGTCGGATACTGCATTTCAAATTGATGATAGCGATCTTGATCCCGACTCTACATCCAAAACAAATTGCAATCATCCATTTATACAAATAAAAGCTTAGAGAGTGGGCAGGCGTCGAGTTCGGCTCCCTCCAATCGTCCAGCCACTGACCGTAACAACGATGAAACCAACAAGAACGACGCGATTTACAATGTCTAACTTCAGCCTGCTGCTGATGGCCATAAGTCAGCCTTGCTTCGTGGCAGGTCGGTCTCACACCAAGCCAGCGAGCTACAACGCAACACCAAGGTTACGACAAATATCACGAATCACGTTGGTCTTGAAGGCCCTAATGAGCCAGAAGATTACGTCTTCGATGTCTTCGCTGAGGAGGAAGAAGGGTCAAGGCTATGCTCGCGAGCGATTAAAAGATTGATTGGAAGACACCTATGGTGCTAGACTTTGTCGGGCGATAAACTGGGATAAACCGATAAGGAATCCAGGTGGTTACGGCTTTTTTTTCTGCTGAGGTTGTATTGATTCGGAAAGCGCAAGTAAATATGACAGGGTGCTACCTAGGACCAACAAGCTTGCCCCTAGTGTTATCAAAGTCCAGCACATGTAGAGTATACTTACAAGAACGGCGCTCTGTGAGGACGGCAAATTAAAAATTGAATATTGATATTAGTATTGGACATTACCAGTTTTTGTATCTTCAAATACTAGTAGGGACTGCAGGTGTTGGAGGTGTCGGAGGTGCTGGAGGTGTGAGGTGTTTGCCGAGATGTTGGAGTCAGAGCCCGTTAAGCTGAAATCCGCAGTATGGAACTTTCACCCAACTACCTGTATAATATCAAGGATAGAAGGCAGAAAATACGAAGTATAGGGATACTTTGCTATCACCCCACTTTATACCGAGGGAGGCAGGTTCCGATATATCAAGTGCGACCCCGCTAAGTCAGTAGATCAGGAATGGTTTTTCGACAGCAATAGAACGTTTTAGCAACGGTATACAGTTTTCATGCACGAGGTACCTTACAGTTCTTGGTATATTTTAGCGCATCAGCCTATACCAAATGTAAAATAATCAGAGATTACCCTAATTGTATATGCTTTCTCATCTTGGGCAACAGCGATTCCACATTACTACTCTCCTTCCCTTGGGCAAGACTGGTTGTTCACGGTTTCCTCGCACATGTCTTCGTACGCAAATGCAACAATGGGTCTCTCATTCTGGAACCGGCTTCTGAACACGGCCCAAATCAAGTGCGACTACTCGGAGAAGCCAGCGGGCCTGCGCTGGCGCAGCAATAAAGTATTCATCGTTGCCACGGTGGGTGTCGGGCTCTTCACCGACCTCTTCCTCTACGGGCTGATTATCCCCGTCCTTCCCTTCCATCTGGGCGATGGCCTCAGCTTGCCTCCAGACCAAGTCCAACGCCAGGTCTCACGCCTGCTCGCCGCCTACGCCGCAGCTTCGGTTGGCATGTCTCTCATTGCCGGCGTGATCACGGATCGGTTCGGCACACGACGGGCGCCATTTCTGTTCGGCGTCACGGCGCTGTTTGGCGCAACTCTGCTGCTGTTCCTCGGGCGCACGATGCGCGTGCTGCTGGTCGCAAGAGTGTTGCAGGGCTTCAGTGCCGCGGTTGTTTGGACCACGGGCATGGCCCTGTGCTTGGAGACGGTGGGCGCGGAGAATCTGGGAAAGGCGATAGGAGCCGTAAGTTGGAGTTGGGATCTGCTCTGTTTGATTTGCTTTTGGTGCGCTGCTGACGCGGGGGGTTGGATATCTAGATCTTCGGCTTCATCTCAGTCGGGACCTTCCTGGCTCCAATACTTGGCGGCGTTCTCTACGACAAAGGCGGTCTCGCAGCCGTGTTTGGGCTTGCGTGTGCAGTCCTGGCCGTCGACTTTACGATGCGACTTCTAGTCATTGAAGTCCGCACCGCCCAGCGATACGAGATGGGCAATGGCACCGATGCCCTCATTACTGGTGCAAGCCAACCGCAGACTGAGGAGGGCAGCGATGAACTGTCATCACTCTTGCAAAATACCGGAAAGGCAGACGACTCGTACAGAATATCGCCAGATTTGCCAAAAGTCATGCGCATCATTCCCATCCTGCCTTGCCTTGCGGCTCCCCGTCTCATCGCTGCTCTGACCATTGCATTTGTCCAGGCCTTGCTTCTTGGGAGCATCGACGCGACGGTTCCGATTGTCTCTCACGAGTACTACAACTTCTCCTCGCTCCAAGCCGGCCTCATGTTTCTCCCCATCGGTGTGGCAAACTTGACTGCTGGGCCGCTCTTGGGCTTGTGCGTGGATAAGCTGGGTACCAAGAAGATCTCTGTCCTCGTATATCTGTATCTCGTTCCCGTCCTGATTTCGTTCCGATTCGCAAAGCCCGGAGGAGCATCGCAAGTTGCTGTTTACGAAACTCTGCTGGGACTTGTCGGCATCGGTGTGGCGGGCATGGGTGCACCATCCATCGTGGAAGCCAGCACGGTTGTCCAGAAGTATCATCAAGTCAACCCGGATTTCTTTGGTGACCATGGCCCGTACGCCCAGCTGTACTCGTTGTCGTTTCTCTTCTTCTCGCTTGGTTTGGCACTGGGACCTGAGCTAGCTGGTGAGTTACGACAGGCCATTGGGTACGGGAACATGAATGCAGTGCTGGCGGCAGTTTGCGCCCTTACGGCTTTGGTGTGCTTTCTGTTCATCGGCGACAAACCCAAGCAAACAATACGGTGAACTAGACACTGTTCTATTATGCAAGCCAAGCTGAGCGAGGAACACGATCCAAAACGGCGGCTCGGCAGCAATGGCCTGCGAACAGCAGCAGGGGCAGAGGTTGAAGGGGAGTCTCTTAGGTAGAATCATTTTAGACTGTTGTACAACAGGGCTCAATAACTTGACTTTATATAAGTTATACATAAATCTGTCTTGGCTATAGTTTACAGCTAAACGCAATATTCAAGTGCAATGGCCGCCGAATTCAGCGGGTTTAGTAGCTGTTTTATTAGAACGTAGGTGACTTAGTCTAATAACGTACATGCATAGCGAGTGGGCCAGCATAGCGAAAGTTATAAAATTTTAATATTAGCCTTTTACAAGCATTTAAAGTAGTCTATTTGATTTTTAAAGCAATTGGTCTTGTAGTTATTGAGATGCTAAGATTTAGGTTAAAAGTAGGGGCTAAAACTTAATATCTCAATAACCACATAACTAATTGCTTTAAAACTGAAACAGAGCTCTTTAGACGCCTATAAGAGGCTAATCACATAGTTTTATAATTTATTATTGAAGGGTTGTTGAGATATTAAGTTATGAAATTCGTGATTTATAGTGTAAAATAGAGTGGTCCGTTCGCTATGCTGGCCCACTCGCTATGCATGTACGTTAGAGGAAAAGGTCTTAGGGTTTAGAGTTTTAGATTGTCTTAGAAATAATTAGGCAACGTAGTTCACAAGCGAGTTGGCTGCACAAGCGAGTTGGCAGATTTTTCTTGGCATACAAACAAAACCTTAAATAACACAACAATTAACGTGCATGTATAACGAAAGTGCCAAACAAGCGAAAGTGCCAAAATATCGCGACTACCCCATAAGAATTGCGATAAATCCACCACAACAATATAAATTAATTAAAACTACTCAGAGTCCTCTTCCTCAGACCTGTCTATTACAATCTGACAAGTGCGCGCATTGTGTCCAGTCTCACCACACTTGCCACAGCGACGTGCATGGGTTTCTTCCCTTGGCTTCCGACCACTACTTGCCCTTATTTCTTGCTCTACTTGCTGCACAACGTCCCTCTCGTCCTGTAGCTCCTGTGCTACCTGTTGACTAAGTGATCCTCCTTGCTGTAGTCGTGTTTTTTTAGCTCTCCGGCGCTTGCTTAGCACTTCATTTGCCTGTCGCAGGTTTTGGTTCTCTGCTTTTAACAATGCTAATTGATGCATTATTTCCGATGCACCCTTTGTAAACTGGTCAACAGCTGCATAGATTGAGGTTGGAGAGCTATTTTGATGATGCGCAATTCAGTTTTTAATGAAAGTAGACTGTGATACAGCTTCAGTTGGGTTATTTGGTGTCTGAGAAACCCATGGTTGAGCGGTGTTTGGGCGAGAGGTTGGAGGTGTTGGCGTCTTAAACCTAAGGTCAAGTGTAGATATTACACTCTCAGGGCTAAATGGAAGAAGCCCAGCACCTCGGAACCCTCCCTGAATATTGCTTTCTGTCATTGCAATGTTAAATGCAGCGTGGAAGGCAGGAAAGAAGTCATCCTTAGTAATGTGAATAATATGAGCCCGCATCATATCTTTAATTTGCCGACCGTAAGCTCTCTTTAATGGGCCAAAACAGCCAACATCAAGTGGTTGGAGTATATGGGAAGAGTGAGTAGGCATACAAAGCGTAATAATGTTGTGTTCTTTGCAGTACTCCTCAAACTTGTCTGAGTGGTGGCTCTCATGACCATCAAGGACCAACAAGCAATAACCACCAACACTCCATGGCTTTGTGTGCTTCTCAAAATGCTGAATCCAATCCATACCTCTCTCGTTTGTAGTCCAGCCATTTGCAGTAACAGCGATTACCCAATCTGCTGGAAATCCGCTATTCTCATACCAAGATGCAAGGTGGTTTTTACCTGCCACAATGACAAATGGCGGCACTGCCCAACCTTGAGAACTAATGCCTTGGATTACTGTAACCTATTCCCGATTGCCAGGCTGCACCTTTTTTGCCTTTGCCCGCCTATCTGAGCTCGTTACTACCGTTGCGCTTGAGATGACGCCCATCATAAACCCAGTCTCATCAAAGTTGTAGATATCTGCATTGTTGATGCCATACTTTAGAATTGTGTTCCATACAAGCTCAAACCAGCCACGAATGACTTCTGGATCTTCGCACTTAGCCCTCTGGTAGTCGTATTTTCGCTGGAAGCGTGTCCGGAGCTCTACATGGCGCTTAACAAAGTTTGAAGCCCAACGTGACCCGACGCGTGGCGCGTCGCGTGTTGCAAGTAGTCGATTTGCCATATCTTCAACAATAGACAACTGAGGAGGGAACCCTTTAGCAGCTAAGTCAAGTATATACTGAACAAGAACTGATTCCTCTAGGTTACTTAATTTCCGTAAGTTGGCTTGGATATCGCGTCGTGAAGGTACGCCTTGTAAACGGTGACGTAGCTTGGGGTGGTCTACGGAATAGATCCTAGCTGCAACTTGAAGGCGCAAATTTGGGTCGCGTTGCATAGCTTGGATAGCTTGCAGTTATTTGCTTTCATCATTTTTATGGCGCATGTTTTGTTGTGGAGGAATTTAACATTTAGTTGGGGGGGTTGGTCACCGCATGATTTTGGCACTTTCGCTTGTTTGGCACTTTCATTATACATGCACGTTATTTGAAAATTCAATACAAATACCTATTGCTATTATAGTAGTTAGGTTATATGTTTAATGGCCGCTAGAGGTTATGAAATCTTTCTGCGTTGCCTTTGCTGCCGCTTTTCCAACCTTTGTAGAGATTTGAGAGATTGGGTTTCCTAAACTCCTTAAAATATTCTGAGACGATGTAGTGCTCTGAGAAGAATGTATTGTATCCTGGGGTAACAGATGCTGACTTGTGGATAGTTTATCGATTGGTGTGATGTGATCCTTTTCTTGTTTCCTCTTTTTTGGTGTGTGGTTGTCATCCGAGGAGAGTTCGTCGATAGTATATGTTGGACCTTCTGATAAAGATGGGGCTGTAGTACGGCATACCTCATAGAGGCTCTCAGATTTCTTCTTAAATGCTCTGAATGGCAAAGGCTTTCTTGCAACAATATTGTCGTATACTATACGTTTGACCAAACTATATATCTTTCCAAATTGCGGTAGATGCTTGTTTAAAAGTGGATAAACAAGAGACATGTTCTGGTTGCCCCATCGTAATAACCTAAGAACAAATTATTTTTATTGTCTTAGATAGAGTGTTATTTTATACCTTCGTCCTGTGTATTCTGGCAACAAAACCAAGACACCCCAACCAAACTCGTTTGCAATAAGGTGTATCCCCTTTGCAGCCTGCCGGTGGTTTTGGAGTGCCTTGTTACTTATTCCAAGCTGTCCAGCCATGTAGGTATTGATCCACGAACGACAATCGTTTCCAGGGCTTGTTTTCTTGTTCTCCGGATTTACTAATGCCAAAATTTCTGTGTCGCTCTTCCTCACTAAGTCTCGAAGACCCATCCACTTGAGATGCAAGTCGAGGTATGCAACCCATCTCTTAAAAGCCTGATATGTCGAATGTGTAGAAACCTTTGTATCTTCGATGTGGGAGAAGGAAGCGTAGAATTCACGAACACATGTTGGGAGAGCTTCATCCTTAGCCAACCCTGCTACTTTTGTGGAAAGGCTTTCATCAAGGCTAAGCTGATGTGTAGTATAAAAGATGGTGAGCGATAACAGTCGGCGGAGGCCACAATCTCCCATTATATCCTTGAAAAAGAAGTTTGTAATTGCAACAACCTCAGTTGTAGTGAAATGCGGAACGTCGAGTCCAGTGGCCGATTTATGCTTTAACTTGCTGAGGTCGCTGTGGAAGGTCTGTCAACTTCTAGAAAGAGTCTCCAGACTAACCTGGGGGTCGAGTTTATTTGTTAATGGCAGTAGCTCAATGGATTTTCGTTTTCGGTGGGTACCTTCCTTAGCTGGTGTTGGCGTCAATGCTTCAGACGCATCAACAGTTGGTATCCTCGGAATGTCCGTGTCGCCATAGACCGGAGTTGAAACAACATTATTGGCGCCTTGCTGAATATTGGACGGCGTAGGAGTGCCAGTTGATTGAAGCTGGCTATCCGATGTTGGCTCGATACATAAATCAGGCAGGATGTCAGGTGCAACTGGCAGGCTTAGTTGAGGAAATTGGCTATCGGCAGTTATACGCTGGGCAGGCAAGACATTCGAGACGAGCGGACATGTAAGAGGCGGCTTCGATTCTAATCCAGGTACAGTAAGAGACTGTGTGTCATCTAGAATAGTAGTATATTGCATCAATAGAATATTCGTAAACTCCAAGATAGATTGGAGGATGGCGCGTTTCGAATTGTCATCTTCAACTTGGAATTGGCATGTAATCTCAGCCAGTGCCTACAACAGTCAGAACGGAGGTGGAATGGACTTGGATTAAGTCATACCTTTAAATACAAGCCATGGTCCTGGCGGCGCGAGATGTCGTTGGTGACTGGCATTTCCAATTGGGTCGAGACGCGTAAAACTCGGTGTGGGGGGAAACGACAACAAAACGATGGGGCGGCCCGGTAAAACTATTATCCATATATCACCAACAGGAGAACAACAGAAATGCAATCTGTAGCAGGTCACATGCAGTAGGGTCAACGAATACAATGATTGATGGTATGTTATTCCCGTACTTTTCATATTGTCTTTAAAGACCTCTAGCGGGCTTGAAAGCTCATTACCTCTTTGTCTTTTTGTTGGGGCTCATGAGCGACTTTGCAACTGCCTTTTCGGCAGGCGACATGTTCGCAAGCTCAGTCAAGGTGAACTCTCTCTTTCCGCCAATATTTTCGAGGATGCGGTCATTGCGGGTGGGCATGTTCTCCTGCAACTGCCTGGCCATGGATCTCGTCACTTCAGCTCTGCCGCCTCTGGATCTCTTGCTGGTGCTTGGAGTCGGGCTCTCCAGTTCATGGGTTTTGAGGGCCAATGGTGCGCAGAAACACTCTTCAACCTGGGACGGAGGCTTGGGGTGCATTGTGCCTTTTGGCATGGCCTTGCGCATGTTGCCCATGTCCAATGGTTCGAAGTCTTTGGTGGCATCTGGCTGCTTCCTGGAGATGGCGATCTTTGGAGAGGGGGTTAGGAACCGATTTCTCATATTCTTCTCGGCGCGGTTAGCTTTGCTTTGGTGCTCTTTGTGTACTGACTCGAGAAAGACACGAGTGAAGGCATACCTCAACAGTCCCAGTAGCAGCGAGCAATGGGCCCCAGCCATATACAGCTGCTCGGTCAGTATAGATCTGTGAGTTGTGTTGGGTTGGAAGCTTACCAAAAAAGCTCATCTTTTCCACTTCCTTTCCATCCGGGTCGCTTTCACGAACGAACTCCATGATGAGCTTATTCAGCTGCAAATGGTCAGTAGGTTCATATACAGTGAACGGAACCTTTCTAACCTCTTCTTTTGAAACCAGTGCCATTCTTTGCAGCGGTCTCCGACAAGCCAGAGGGTGTGTTGTAGTTGTTGTAGACAGAAGGGTGATGTGGTGTAGTTGTTGTCGACAGAAGGGTGATCTGGTGTATTTAAGAGAAAGTGTGTTGGTAAAAGTAGGGTTGTTCGGGATATTTGAGGAGCAAGCAATGGGCGTATGGGTATATGTGGGATAAAGTAAGTGAATTTGATTACGCCTGTAATAAGTAAACATAGGACAGAGGCTGGGGTTGAAGCAAAGGCGGCAGTAGTAGAACAACCCACAGTAAACATCAGGACTTGTTTGTCTTATGGATTTGTTAGTTACCATGGTTATGGATCCAATATTAAATAATTATCTGGGGGCACTGCAAGATAGAACAGCGACAGTGTAAATACATATCAAACAAATCCTTTGCATTTTAGATAGTTAATTATACCTTGAATAATATGTTTTAAAGGACACCAGCGGTCATTAAACCAAACGTTAACAAGCCAAAAAACTAATTTTAAGCTTCACTGAAAACAACACTTCCTTCTTTAAAGAACCTGGGCGTTCTTTAAACCCTTCTAGGCTTACAAGCTCCACAATGGCAAGCTCCACAATGGCAGACAAGGAAGGCAATCAACATCAAACAAGGAAGGCGATCAACGTCAAACATACAGGGCAGTCACATGTGTAGTTGCTATGCGAATGGAAAAGGGCAGGGTGCGATTCCAATCTTATCTCGTATGCAGTAATAAACCCTCCCATCCGCGTTAGTATACAACTTTCTGTGGCTAATAATATAATTGTAAGGACATAGGGCACCTAGCTTACAGTAATAGTATATAGGAGTGTAAGTTAGGGGCTAAACAGGTGCTATTCTATAGGTCTACTATAAAGGATACAAAAAAGATAAAGAGGGAACCCTGTTAGTTAGTTTCCGTTAATACCTAAAATAGGTCTAACTTAGTTAGCCTACCCTTGTCCTTCACACATAACTACCACAGGTCTGTATTAGCACTAAGCCTAGTTTGTCACGGGCACCAAAAGGGTGGCGCGGGTATGGGGTGTAGGGAGGTCATTGGCAGTACAGCTGCTCATCGGCAGGGAGCGCAGCAGAGCTGCCTAAAGGGTTCGGCGTTGGTAAGGCACTCATCACGTGCCTTACTAATGGGAGCTACGGTCCAGGCCGGCTGCTGGTCGGCCCCGATCCTTTACCGTTTTGGGTGCGATCCCATAGGCTAAGGATGGGACTACAGAATGAGGGGGGGGGATCTACCAATCACTGTACACCACGATACGCTGGCGTTACAGCACTGAAGCCATAGTATATAGAGCGTAGCCCTCCTTTACAAAGGGGCAGAGTTCAGTTTCTGAAATACTACTATGCGTTCTAGCACTCTACCCATACTCGTCACATTGTTAGTAGGCTCGTAGTCTATAGCAGCTTAGTTTGCTTGTAGTTCCTAGGGCTTAGGGCCCCATTCCTCTACTTCTTACGTGTCTAGCGCATTGTACTCTGCGAGTTTGTATTTCAACTAATTAGTTGCTTCTAACTCTGTGTACTGTACTCCATAGGGTTTAAGGTGCTAGAGGTAGTTAGGTCGGCATTACATCTCGCGTACCCTAACTTCCTATTCTTGGGTAGTGCTTAGCCATTAGGCTAGAGGTCCTAGTACAGGACGTCCCTACCTATCCCTAAGCATGCTTTCCTTTATAGTTGCTACTATGTCTTATAGCTGTTCCTTAAAGGTGACTTTGATTGCTATGTCCTTAAACACTTGTAATTTATGTTTCTAGGACTCTGTTAGTCCCTTTTTCATGAGTTCGCTCGTACTCTTAACAGACGTGTTGAACTTTAAGGTCTTCATTGCTATTACTACTATCTTTGCTTAAGCTTTCTTGCTTAGGGGTGCTGTTGCTGTTTATTCCCTAATTGGGTTTGCTAGCAGATGTAGCGTTCAACTGTCCTTGCTAGGTGGCATTTAGTTGCTTGCTGAATTTGTGTCCTCTGTTCCCCTTCTTAGGCTGCTTGTAGTCCCTAGCTATATAGCTAGGCTTGTTGCAATTAAAGCAGAGCCGTTCCTTAAGCTGTCGCTCTTTGTTAGGGTTACAGGGCCTACTGCCTTGCTGAAGGGTAGCATTGAGTTATATAGGGTCTAACTATTGGTTGTCTTAAGGGTAGTTGTCCCTCTTTTAACCTTCGTTGCCTTAATACTTGTAGCTCTTCTTTAGGCTATTATAGGTTTGTTATTCCTTCTAGAACTTGTACAGTTGGTTATCAATCCGAACTGTATGTTTAATAAGTGAGACTATGTCCCTTAGTTGATGTTCTATATCTGCAAGTTCTATATAGACATAGCTCTTTAGTCTACGTCAGTAGTAGCTAATGAGTACGTAGGTGTCCCACCTAGTCTAGTTAGCGTGTCTCTAGAATTCCGTAGCATAGTCAAGGGCGCTGCTAGTCTGTTTAAGTGTATATAGGTAGTCTTCTGCAGTCTTAACCTTATTGATGTTACTAAACATGCTGTCACGAGCATGCAATTGACGCTATGTGATTACGGGTCCTTACGGACAACCCGTAAGGGGTAATGCTAAAACACCATCTGTAACAGCCTCAAACCTTACCCGTTTCAGGTCCGTAGTTATAAGCCAGACCTCTAGGCTTCGCCCACCTCTCTTCTTCTTTCTTCTATAGTTTTAGATCTTCAATAGAACCACCTCTTGATTTGCTAGTCCTCCGCTACACTCGTGCATCGCTACGGGTAAGGTCGACCATTACGGGGCAAGCAGACGGGGTTTGTCACAGTACATAGAATTCTATATAGTAATTAAATGTAATTCAATTAATAGAAGGGACTCCCCTATTAATTGCCTATGAATGGCTAGCAGAAAACCCTTCTGAACCTGCAAGTGTTGCTAGCTGGATTTTCTGTGTTCCTAGGTTGAGCATACAGTTAAGCATCAGTCGCCTACAGAAGTAGTCATAGAAACAGAAGCAGAAGTAGCTATGAGGGGGTAAGAACAAGGTGCTTGTCATACTAACATTCGTTGCACTCAGTTTGCTATCAAACTCAAGAGCAAACTTAGAAATCCCTGCCTCAAACCTACAAGTCACCATACATATTTTGGCTTATCACACCAACAAGAAGAGCAATACTACTCAACGATTGCTGCAAACTCTTCTACTACATCTGTTTATGCTACATACATCACGGCATATCATTTGGACACTCATTGAACAAGTTATTAAGAAAATCTCCTCCTTAAGGGGTGGGCCAATACTACCACATGGCATATCTCTACCAACTAGAGGCCTAGGAACATAAACGATAGCTCTAAAAGCTTCTACAACCCTCTATGATTCATTACACGTCATCGCTCCTTAGTTACCCACAAGATTGGTTAAGTTATGACATAATTTGTCTATAGGTACTCTGACCTTGGACCTCCTTTTCACTTCCTATAGGCTAGGGACCCAAGAGATGGTTCTATGGAATTTTCTTATGTTCGCTACATGATTAGCAAGCTAGTTGTGGGTCGCACTTGATTTCTACCTTACTGCTCCACATGATCCGGGAAATCCTAAGGTTCTACTACTTGATTCTCATGTAAGCCACACAAGCCAAGATTTTATCATATTGGCTGCCAAACACTACATCGTCTTATATGCCTTTCCCCCACATCTCACACACGTTTTACAGCCATTAGACGTGGGAGTATTCCAGCCATATAAGTACTGGCATAGGCAGGCTGTGCTCCGTTCCATATGGGAAATGGACATTACCTACAACCTGCCCCTATTTATAAGAGATCTCCCACAGATCCGGGAGCATACCTTTAAGGAGCCTACCATACAATCAGCGTTCCAGAAAGCTGGAATCTGGCCAATAAGCTGTAATACAGCACTTGAAAAGCTACGTACATACTCACGCCTGCAGCCTACGCCTACGCAGCCTATAGAGCCTACTACACCTACCCTACTACGGCCTATTACACCTATACCCTCTACTTTTCAGGGGGTAGAACGGGGGCTACAGCGGTGGAAAAAGCGGCTTCCGAAGGCCTGGAGTAGCCCCTCAAAACAGAGCTACAATAACTGGGTTACTGGGGCTGAGCGGGTTCTAGCAGCCGGCCAGCTCCAGGAACTCGACCTACGGGCTGTTCGGCAGCAGGTTGAGAACTCGAAGAAGAAGCAGGGCTGGGGCCGGGGCCGGGGCCGGCTCCAGTGTGGAGGTGAGCTCCTGGCTTCTGAAGCTCACGAGCTTGAGGCCCAGAAGCTAGCTGCCACAGAAGCCCGGAAGCAGCTCCACTGGGCAGGAATTAAAGCCCGGAAACAGGAGCGCCTCCGGAAGAAGAGCCTGGCTCGGCTCACTGAATTAGGCCTTCCAATTCCTCCGGAGTTGGAAGACCCAAGTACTGATCCAGAAGCCGAAACTGAGAGCGAGTATGAGAGTGCCAGTGAGGGTGGGAGTGGGCGTGGGAGTGGGTGTGGGAGTGGGTGTGGGAGTGGGCGTGGGAGTGAGAGTGAGAGTGAGAGTGAGAGTGAGAGTGAGAGTGAGAGTGAGAGTGAGAGTGAGAGTGAGAGTGAGAGTGAGAGTGAGAGTGAGAGTGAGAGTGAGAGTGAGAGTGAGAGTGAGAGTGAGAGTGAGAGTGAGAGTGAGAGTGAGAGTGAGAGTGAGAGTGAGAGTGAGAGTGAGAGTGAGAGTGAGAGTGAGAGTGAGAGTGAGAGTGAGAGTGAGAGTGAGAGTGAGAGTGAGAGTGAGAGTGAGAGTGAGAGTGAGAGTGAGAGTGAGAGTGAGAGTGAGAGTGAGAGTGAGAGTGAGAGTGAGAGTGAGAGTGAGAGTGAGAGTGAGAGTGAGAGTGAGAGTGAGAATGAGGAAGTGATAATTTTGTAAAATGGGATTTTTAAGTACTTTTACATACAATTTACTATGGAGGGGTACTTACGGTCGCAATTTGAGGTGGCGCACTTTTGCTTCCTCTCGCTTCGAAGTGGCACACTTTGCTTCCGACCACTATTATACCATATTAGACGCATCAATAGTTACATCGTAGTATTTGAAGTGAGATTAGAATACAGTTTACATATCAATAAATATACCCTGGCTAGCACGTGATAAAGATACGAGCAATATTTCTGTTGGAGGTAATTCAGGAATATGGGGAGCCACACACAAATTCGTGTGATAATCTCCGGCAACTGTAATCAGTCTCTTCGGGCAACGGAGCAGAAGCTTCACAGTAGAATACAGTAAAGTACAGTCATAATCCGTTAAGTCGATAGCTCAGGTCCCATAAATACCATTGAGATAGCGTAAATATTGAGATATCGAACGTATTTTGGTAGTGGACGGGGGGGTTGAGGCCAGCAAAACGTATCGACGTAACGTGAATCGAGTATCGACTTAACGCGTCATGACTGTAGAGTATATATATCGATTGAATTACTACCTAATCTACGGGCCTACATACGCTACTTGTAGGCCTGGGGGAAACCCCCGAAACCCTGACAAGCTGTGGGCTTGGGTCAGTGGCTCCAATAGTATGGCGCCACTGTCTCACCCGTAAACCAGCTGGGAAGTTGGACGGTCTTACGAGGATTACCCATCATTTTGGGCGTAAAAGTCCACCATATCCCACAGGAATGTCTGTTTTCCCCAACAATTTCTAGCACTGTTAACGACATTTTCTATGGCTATCTTCTGTCAGAATTGTCGGAGCACCACAACGCTCTCTAGTGAACTCCTCAATACACAAATTTTGCAGGCTGAATATAGCAGAACTGCGGCGAATGAGCCATATTGTCAGAGGCCGCATACCTGCTCAACTCCTTTGGGCATTGATATAGTTCAAATTTCCACACAATCAATGATAAAAGCTGCCTCATCTGAAGATATGCCATTCTTTGACCGTAGCAACCGTGCTCGCCGAGACCAAACGTAAGCATAGGTCCAGCGGCGGCGTCAAACACCAACTTGCCGCTCGGTCCTTGCACCATCCACCTGTCCGGGTTGAAGCTGGCCATGTTGTCATGTTTCCACGCGCCGACCTTGCCCTTGGACTCGAGGCATAACTTGGTGCGCAAAGAGTCTTGGATTTCAAACTCGGGGAAAAGGAAGCTCGGTCCGTTGCCCATCAGGAAGACTTCTGTGCCTTTGGGAATGAAGTGCCCTAAGATCTCTGTATCGACAACCGCTGTCCTAATGGCTGATGCTTCTGTTTGAGAGCAACGGAAGATCTCCTCAATGACAGCATCTCTGTAATGAATCTGGGTTTTGGTAATTTCGTCAAAGGTTGGCATTCGCCTTTCTGAAGCCGCATCGGCGTGTCCGCCTCGCAGCTCAGCCCGCAGCTTTGTTTGGACATCCGGATTGTCAGCAAGGTACTTAAGAGCCCAGGTAATGGATGTCGAGGTTGTGTCTTGCGCACCAATGGTGAATCCAAGAATCTATTGCAGCCGTTAATGACCTTATAGAGGAGAAACAAAGCAGACAGGTGTGTCATACCTCATCAAACATCTTATTCCTGATGGACTTCTTCAGCGCCGCCATCTGTCTTAATAACCAGTGTTGATACAGGCCTCCACGCTATGCATAAGGTTTAAAAAGGACTGTACCATTTCTGGGTGCGGTGCTCGAGGCAACACGGCCTCTTCCGTAAGGCTGTTGGGGAGCTCCACGTCCTTTATCGTAGTATAGAGTCGCAATTGAGCCTTTGTGTTGCTATTCACTGGATCAGCTCCAAAGACAATTGGCCAAACCGCATCCATAGTGGTACAATGTACATCATGTGACGCGACGAAGGCTCTACCCTTTGCAAGTCTCGCCTTTTGCTCCCAGAGCTGCAGCAGATCCTGACCAGCCTCATACATGTAAGGAGCAGCGACGTCTTGAAGGAATCCAGTTGCCATAATGCCTTGCACCCATTTGTGATGCTTTCTGAATTCGTCGTTAGTTTGCATTACAAAGTGGTTCTTTGACACGATGCCGCCCGAGACATCAGCAATGAATTTGGAGCGATCGAATTCCTTGGTACGATGAACTAGGATATCCTGTGCCTCGAGGTAGTTGGTAACAACAACGCAGGGCCGGCCAAAGGGACGAGTAAATAGTTGAACAATGGGCGAGTTTAACTTGACATTCTGCGCGCTCATCCAATCGTGAACCTCCTGCGTTTTCGATATGTGCTTAACCATGGAGCCAACATCGCCGAGCAGTAATTTGATGGCTGGTTTGTTGTAAGGGATGCCTGGAATGGGCTTGGGAAGTGCCCACCAGTACGCCAGGTACAGAAGCACGATGCCGCCAGCAATGTATGCAAGAGTCGACAGCGCAGGAGTCGACGGAGGGATAGATCCTAAGAAGGACTGAAGAGAATGAAAATTGTCGTCGAACAAGGATTGGATTGAGGCTGGAGTGGGGAGCCCTAGGAAGAATAGACTTTGTCCGCCATGATGTCGATGATGAATGCACAGCAGAAGAGGCAAATCGAAAAAGAGGAAAGAATTGAAGCCAGAGGAGAATCAGAAGGGAGAGAACAATTGGGGGGAGGTTGCTGCCTACCAGTAATACGCCTGCAACAAGCACACACCATCCGCACCCCTAAGCTGAGGTGGGGTACGAGAACTTGAGTATTTGAGCTGAAAATGGATTAGCTTCGCTTGCATTCTCATCTGCAGAATGTCCGTTACTTGGACAATGATGCGACCATTAATACCAGAACATGCAACTCCGATACGCCGCTTATCACGACTACGATGAAGGAGGACTTCCCATGACAAGCCTAGCCATTTCTGAATCGAGGGGATACAGCGCTATGGATGATACAACACTTTGATAACGTAAATGTTCTGTTTGCTTGAAGTCTAATGTTTAGGAGACTACAACAGCCATTCCATTCCATTATGCACCTTTATATCAAGTTTTGGGAACCAATGCTTTCACTCAGCCTTTTGTTCTGTATCAGTTACAGCCAGCCGTGGCTTTACGTTCTTCTACTCCACGCCGACCGCACCAAGGACAGAGATGCATGTCTGCTTCAGGCCATAGTTATAAGCTAGGCTGGGTATTTGCTTGATGCCTTTCATCAATCTGTTGATGAATGTCATGGCCATGGACGTGTCAACTTTGCAGGTGTAGATGCTGCCAGCGCCGACTATAGCCAGCACCGCAGCCGTATACATGAATGGGACGTAGTAGCTTTGTTGAATGGTGAGATGCAGCGTTTGAATGCCAGAGTGTGTCGCTGATTCACCACAGATTGCCTAGAACCAGACCGATATGTAGTACATGATGATAAAGAATGAGGCACAGAGGGCGAATGTGTACAGGCTTGCGACTCCGGTGCTGCGCTGTTATGTGAAGTATTGTTAGAAGATTTGGAGTCAGAATGGTGGTGTATTTGACTACAGATCTAGGTTACTGTTGCATATATAAGGGTCGGCGGTAAACAGGTTGACTTGACTACCTACCTATAGTAGGTGCTACGCATACTATATAGTCTTGCCAAAACGGCCACTGATTCAGGTTCTCCACAGGCTACATAAGCCTGTGGACACACATCGAGTCAGGCCAGATTTCAGTCTAAGGTATCTACATACAACAGTTACACTAAGAGGTGGATTATATGGGTGTTCTCGACTAATCTGGATTAGTCTTAAAGGCACGTGATGCGGCTCACAGCACGGATTATTTCTCAATAAGTATAGCATATTTGCCAGCTCCAACTTGCGCAATGGCAAAAGCAACAAAGAGTAGCCAGCAATCAGCAAATACGCTGCCGAGCAGAAATACTGGCAATGGTGTAGACAGCTGATATCAGGCTAATGTAAATGCGACGCTTCTCGAGCGACGTTGTGGCCACAATGAGAACGAGGCCAGCAGCAATGAGTCCTGTGACCGACAATGCAAGCAACCGTGCCGGGAGTCGCGCCACAGATAATCGACCCGACCTCAAAGGCCACTCTTCTCAACAAAATTTTCTACTTGATATTGAAGTACAGGGGGTCGAGACAAAGGAGTACTGTTCCTGGTTGGCAATTCCCATTTTCGAATCGCCAAGTCATGCCTGATTACATGGTAATCCTTTTCTGTGAGAGTGAGGGAGGCTGCTTACTGTATTCAATATTGCTCATTGACAAACCGTTTGTGGCAGATGGCCCCACATCTCGAGGGATCTGAGTTGACGCATTGGTTTTGGCTTGTAGAGGATCAGTTTGTATCTTGTCATCCGGCAAGCCTAGGCATTTTAGAGATACCCAACAGAAGATTGATGTTATGTACTGACTGTGATACCAAGTACACATGCATCAAAGATAAGCAAGACCTATAGTGTAAGGGGTATAAGGGGTGTAAGGGGTGTAAGGAGTGTAAGGGGTGTAAGGGGTGTAAGGAGTGTAAGGGGTGTAAGGGGTGTAAGGGGTGTAAGGAGTGTAAGGGGTGTAAGGGGTGAGTGTAAGGAGTGTAAGGGGTGTAAGTAGTGTAAGGGGTGTAAGGGGTGTAAGGAGTGTAAGGGGTGTAAGGGGTGTAAGGGGTGTAAGGAGTGTAAGGGGTGTAAGGGGTGAGTGTAAGGAGTGTAAGGGGTGTAAGTAGTGTAAGGGGTGTAAGGGGTGTAAGGAGTGTAAGGAGTGTAAGGGGTGAGTGTAAGGAGTGTAAGGGGTGTAAGGGGTGTAAGGAGTGTAAGGGGTATAAGGAGTGTAACGAGTGTAAGGGGTGTAAGTAGTGTAAGGGGTGTAAGGAGTGTAAGGAGTGTAAGGAGTGTAAGGAGTGTAAGGGGTGTAAGGAGTGTAAGGGGTGTAAGGGGTGAGTGTAAGGAGTATAAGTAGTGTAAGGGGTGTAAGGGGTGTAAGGAGTGTAAGGAGTGTAAGGGGTGTAAGTAGTGTAAGGGGTGTAAGGGGTGTAAGGGGTGTAAGGAGTGTAAGGGGTGTAAGGAGTGTAAGGAGTGTAAGGGGTGTAAGTAGTGTAAGGGGTGTAAGGGGTGTAAGGAGTGTAAGGGGTGTAAGGGGTGAGTGTAAGGAGTGTAAGGGGTGTAAGTAGTGTAAGGGGTGTAAGGGGTGTAAGGAGTGTAAGGGGTGTAAGGGGTGAGTGTAAGGAGTATAAGTAGTGTAAGGGGTGTAAGGGGTGTAAGGAGTGTAAGGGGTGTAAGGGGTGTAAGTAGTGTAAGGGGTGTAAGGGGTGTAAGGGGTGTAAGGGGTGTAAGGAGTGTAAGGAGTGTAAGGGGTGTAAGTAGTGTAAGGGGTGTAAGGAGTGTAAGGGGTGTAAGGGGTGTAAGGAGTGTAAGGGGTGTAAGTAGTGTAAGGGGTGTAAGGGGTGTAAGGAGTGTAAGGAGTGTAAGGGGTGTAAGTAGTGTAAGGGGTGTAAGGGGTGTAAGGAGTGTAAGGAGTGTAAGGGGTGTAAGTAGTGTAAGGGGTGTAAGGGGTGTAAGGGGTGTAAGGAGTGTAAGGAGTGTAAGGAGTGTAAGGAGTGTAAGGGGTGTAAGGAGTGTAAGGGGTGTAAGGGGTGAGTGTAAGGAGTGTAAGGGGTGTAAGTAGTGTAAGGGGTGTAAGGGGTGTAAGGAGTGTAAGGAGTGTAAGGGGTGTAAGGGGTGTAAGGGGTGTGTAAGGAGTGTAAGGGAGTGTAAGGGGTGTAAGGGGTGTAAGGGGTGTAAGGGGTGTAAGGGGTGTAAGGGGTGTAAGGGGTGTAAGGGTGTAAGGGGTGTAAGGAGTGTAAGGGGTGTAAGGGGTGTAAGGGGTGTAAGGAGTGTAAGGGGTGCAAGGGGTGTAAGGGGTGTAAGGGGTTTAAGGAGTGTAAGGAGTGTGAGGAGTGTAAGGATGTTACGGCTACGGTAACGTGATGTCATGGTTACAGGACCAGGGCCTAGTAACGTGACGTGTGAGTCACAGTGGGAAGCGGGGTAGGATGCCATGTGACGGGGCTAATGGATAGTTGCAGAAACTAGTGGATATTGGATAGTTGAGCTATCCACGAACTATCCTGAATATCTAGCTGTCCGCCAACTATCCAGATTACCCATGAGGCACGACGCCACTATATAAGTAGATAGTATTTCCTTAGATAGGAGCTTCGTGCTCAACTCAATATAGTATTCTTTACAATACTGTAACGTGTTACTTGGAAAGCCTTTTAGGGTTACCTATATGTATCAATACAAACAGGTGATTTGTATTTTTAAGGTGTGTGGGATTTAAAAATACAGTCAACTCCCGTTAAGTCGATACAATTGGTGACACATGTAAATATCGTAAAAGTGAAAATATCGTTATATTGAAATGCCAAGTATTATGTAATCCACCTATCTAATGTCTCCTAAACCAAGGAATGAAGCTGAATTGCCTCAATTTCGCCCTCTAAATGCTTCTAATGCCCTGAGGTGATTGGCTTGGAGAGCATCGTGACAGAAAGCCACTGCAGCTATCAATTCGTCGCTAAAAGTCATAGAGAATTTGTTCAAGTTGAGGCCATTGGCCAGTTCAATTTCGTTGTCTAGTTGTTGTCGAGTTGTCAAGATGTTTAAAGCGGTTACTAAGGCTATCTGATATTGTCGATTGACTGAGCCTATGATTGAACTTGTGAAGAAACCAGTTGATGCAGGCTTTCTAGGAGGGTTTGAGGTGCTGTTTGTGTGCCTAATATCGAAGGGCACGGCGCTGTTCGAGTGTAATCGTGTGTTTTCGAGGCATAATAGAGTTGGATAAGTCGATAATTAAAGGTCAGAAGGTCAATATCGCGAATATCGAGAATTGAGTGCGAAAATCAATTGGTGCTAAAAAAAATATCGACTTAGCGTTGTTATCGACTAATCGGGGGGGAAAGCAGTTTGCGCCACCTCGAAGCGAGAGGAAGCGGTTTGCGCCACCTCAACTTGCATACATTCACCGCTACTCCTTACCAAAACCTTCAGCATTCCCCCCCATAGTAATTTATATAGTAATTAAATGTAATTCATTTAATGGAAGGGACTTCTCTATCAGATGCCTGTGAATGGCTTGCAGCAAATCCCTCTGAATCTGTAGCTGTTGCAAGTCAGATTTTTAAGATCCCAAGGTCGACTATACGGTCAAAAATCAGCCGCACAAGAACCACTAGAACCACCAGAACTACCCAAAATGGGGGTCAGAATAGGGTGCTTTCTACAGCTCAAACAGAAGCCCTAAAGGCCTGGATTCTAGAGCAGTATCACCTAGGATTAGGGGCTAATAGGCATATGGTTTACGGGGCAGTATGCCACCTACGGAGCCCACTGCCTCCACCGTCACAGAGCTGGCTCACTAAATATATACGGAATGAGCTTATAGAGTTTCACTTTGTTACTACAAAGCCTATTGCACAACAGCGTACGAAAGCTCAACAGGAGCCTACTGTTATTAAGTGGTTTCAAGAGTACACAGCATTAGTACTACAGCGTGGTATAAAACCAGAGTCAATCTGGAATATGGACGAAACTGGTTTTAGGATCGGAATTCCAGGAGGTGAGAGAGTTATGGTCCCCCGAGCTGTAAAGCAGCTCTACACTCCAAGCCCTGAGAATCGTAATTACCGCCTTTAAAGTATGTCTGTAGCTCGCACTCCTTCCACAGCTGGCCATGCATGGTCTTCTGTTGCGCAGCCTTTAACCTATGCTCTACTTGCAAGTGCTCCTTCATGTTCGCTAGGTTGCATGTGCAGTAGATGCATTGCGGGCGGAGGCAGTAGAACCCATCATGCCTCGTTAGGCCTTGCACGGGTTGCGCCAGCTGTCCTGAGTCAACCACGCCCTATTACCCCTATACCCACTACGTTCCAGGGCGTAGAACAGGGCCTACAACGCTGGAAAGACCGGCTTCCGGAGGCCTTCAGTAGCCCCTCGCGGCAGAGCTACAGTAACTGGGTTACTGGGGCCTCCCAGGTTCTAGCTGCCGGCCAGCTCCAGGAGCTCGACCTACGGGCTATTCGCCAGCAGGTTAAGAGCTCGAAGACGAAGCGGGCTCGGGGCCGACTCCAGTGTGGAGGTGAGCTCCGGGCTTCTGAAGCCCACGAGCTTCAGAAGCAGAAAGCCGAGCTTCAGGCCCAGAAGCTCGCTGCGGCCGAAGCCCGGAAGCTAAGCCAGGCCGCAAACCGAGCCCAGAAGCTCGTTACGGCTGAAGCCCGGAAGCTGAGCCAGGCTGCAAAGCGAGCCCAGAAGCAGCTCCGCCGGGCAGGAATTGAAGCCCGGAAACAGGAGCGCCTCCGGAAGAAAAGCGTGGCTCAGCTCACCCAATCGGGCTTCCCAATTCCTCCGGAGTTGCAGGACCCAATTACTGACCCAGAAGCTGATTCTGGGAGCGAATATGAGAGTGCGAGTGAGGGTGGGCGTGGGAGTGGGCGTTGGAGTGGGCGTTGGAGTGGGAGTGAGAGTGGGAATGAAGAAGTGATAATTTCGTAGAATTGAATTTGTAAGTACCTTTACATACAAATTACTATGGCTAGGTACTTGCGGTCGCAATTTTGAGGTGGCGCAAACCGCTTCCTCTCGCTTCGAGGTGGCGCAAACCGCTTCCCCCCCCGATTAATCCGACATCGTCTTGGCGAGAGTGGACTGTATACACGTGTTTATCGCATCCCTACCTTACCTGGTTGGCGCGGGTGTAGCGGACGTAACGGAGATAACGTTGTGCCAGGATGTTCGTTTAATGGCTGGCCGGCAACGATGGCCGAGTTCAAAACCGTTCATTAGAAGAGATTCCTACTCTTATCAAGACATTATACGAATATCGCTCGTGCCCATATCACCACACCAAGGCAGTGGTCTCGGTGAGAAGAACAGACGCCGGCACGACAACACCATCACTATAACGACGGCACCATGGCGTCGTACCTCATCACTGGAGCCAGCCGTGGCCTGGGCTTTGAGATGGTGAAAGCATTGCTGCAGAAGCCCGCCAACGAGGTTTCCACCGTCTTCGCCGCCATCCGCAGTGCCCCTCCTCCGGCTCTGCAGGAAGTCATTGCTCAGTCGCAGGGTCGCGTGGTGGTGGTCAAGCTTGAGGTATCAGACGAGGCCAGCATTGCCGCCGCCGCAAACGACGTCAAGGACAAGCTGGCTGGCCGTGGGCTCGACGTCCTCATCAACAATGCTGCCATTGCGAGCATGACTCCCACCCCTCTGACCGCGGCGACGACCTTGCAGAACGCATTCAAGGTCAATGTCGATGCTGTCCACCGGATAACCGTGGCATTCCTGCCGCTGCTGAGGGAAGGCACCAAGAAAACAGTGCTGAACGTGTAAGTGGTATATCAACAATTGAAGCTGAAAGATGGCTGATGTTCTTCAACAGGAGCTCGATTGTCGGATCAATTACACACACCAAGAGATTCATGATCTCTCCTGACCATGGCTACCGTGTCTCCAAGGCCGCACTCAATTGCCTGATGTCCATCTTTGCCTGCGAATTGGAAGACGAAGGCTTTACCTTTGTCGCTGTCTCTCCCGGTGTACGTGTCCAAGCAAACATCCATGTTGGAGCAGTTCGTCATGTGTAGCTAACGCGAAATCAGTGGTGTCGAACGGACCAGGGTGGCCCATACGCAGACCTCGATGCCCAAACCGGCGGAGTGGCGGTGATTGAGGTGCTCGACAGGGACAGGTCCGAGCTGAATGGAAAGTTTGTAAATATCAAGGTAGCCGGCTGGGAGAATGCTGCTGGGCTCCACCAGTATAATGGCGCAGAGATTCCATGGTAGGAGAAGTAATAAATCCTTCTGCGGTTGTTAGACCAGAGATGGGCACTCGATTAACGATATTCGTTCAAAGCTAGCCCTTTCACTACTTGCAGTCTGTTTCTTGTGAAAGGTGAAGAATGATGTTTATAGAAATTTATAGTATTTACTGTTGATTCTAGATGTCTCTATACACTTCAGTTTTGATATTCACATTAATTTTCATTTGTTTCGTTCTTACTCAGATTGATAAAGACTTTAAGATGTGAATTTCTTTGGTTTCCTTCCTTTAGAAGCCTATATAGCTAGAGTCATTTCTAAGAGTTAGAAAAACAGGCTTTCCACTTGTCTTAATCAGAGTACTTATTTTCAACAATTGCCAGTGTTGCCCGAATACCGCTCCGAGTACTACTCAATCAACCTCGAGTAGAGTACTCAAAATTGAAGCTCGAGTACCGGTATTCGAATACCGGTACTCGAATACTGTGAGTAGTACTCGCATATAAAATAGAAATTGACTGTATTTACTATTCTAACTCTCATTATCTGCATCGTCGCCGCTGTCCTTGTCGTCGCCTTGTGATATAACACCCCAATTCACTGTGGGGAATAATATTCGGAATATCACGATATTATCATGATATTATCACGATATTCAATATCATGATATATTGCCAATATAATATAAGGTAACGTGGTTTATCAGTACGTCGGACATATCAGTACCTCGGACACTTTTCATTGGCATTCTACTTTGAATATCAATAAATCAACCATAACATATTAAATTAACTATAACTAAGCGGAATCAGATGAACTAGACATATCTATAGCTTCTTGACAAGTTCGCGCATTATGACCAGCTTTTCCACAGATCCCACAGCATCGCCTAGACGGTTGCCCCTCCTTGTGACTACCCCCAACAGCACGTACGTCGCGTCGTACCTGCTCATCCACATCCTTCTGTGCGATAATAGCCTGTGCATCCTCTACTATAAGTGCACCTCCTTCACGGACACGAGCCTTTTTAGCCCTGCGGCGTTTGCTAAGGGCTTCGTTGGCTGCTCGAAGGGTACGTACCTCAGCAGACAGAAGGGTGTTCTCATGTGCTAGTCGCTCCGTACCCTTTGCCAATGCAATAACTGTCCCGAAGAGTGGAGTTGGCGAGCTTCCTTGGTGACGGGCAATTCGATTTCGAACGAGGGTTGTTTGTGAAAGAGCTTCAGTTGGGTTGGAAGGGGTCTGGGAGACCCAAGGGTTGGTGTTGGCAGTAGAGGGTCTAGAGGGAGTTGGAGTCCGTAACCTCACGTCAAGCTTTGAAAGCACTGCTTGCGGGTCGAAAGGCACTAAGCCAGCTCCGCGGAACCCGGACTGGGCGTTTTGGGCTGTCATGGATTCCAGATATGCTGCTCTAAAGGCGAGAAAGAACTCGACCTTGGTAATGTGGTTGATATGAGCCTTAATGAAGGTCTCAATCTGCCGACCATATGCCCGCTTCAACACACTAAAGCACCCGACATCAAGTGGCTGAGTTAAATGAGACGAGTGGGGAGGTAGTCCAAGAGTTATAATGTTGTGTGCCTTGCAGTACTCTTGGAACTCGGCCGATTCATGACTCTCGTGCCCGTCTAACACCAGCATTCGATATGGACCCCTTGCACGAACAGCAGTATGTTTGTCGAAGTGTTTCAACCATTCTAGACCCGTCTCATTGTTTGTCCATCCATTGCTTGTCGGTTTAACAACCCAGTTGTGTGGAAGGCCGCCATCTGTATACCAATTTGCAAGATGATTCTTGCCTTTAACTACCAAAAATGGAGGAATACTCCAGCCGTCACTGTTGATACAAGCAATCGCTGTAGCCCATTCCCGATTCCCTGGCTGAACTGCCTTACCTCTGCCAAGTCGATCTGCACGGGTAACAACCATTGCAGGGCAAATCACACCCATCATAAACCCAGTTTCGTCAAAGTTATAGAAGTCGCAGTCCAAAACACCATATTTTGCCCTCATATTTTCCACTAGTCGAAACCACGCGCCAATTAGTTCAGGATCTTTGCACAAGGCCCTTTGGAAGTCGTAAACGCGATTAAAACGCGTCTTTAATTCTGGACGTCGTTGTACAAATCGGTGGGCCCAGAGCTTCCAAACGCGCCTCCCTCCACTCGATTCGAGTATAAAATTTGCCATATCTTCTACACCAGCAAGCCGGGGTGCAAATCCTCTTGAATCCATATCAAGTATATTCCGAATAACCACCTCCTCTTCTAGTATAGTTAATTTCATCATTGCAGGCCGGCGTTCGTAGACAGTAGTTCGGCCGTTCATTCTGTCGCAGAGTGTAGAATGAGGTACTTCATAGAGCTTAGCAGCCTTCCGACGACTTAGATTTTTTGATGTTTGGATAGCCTCGATAGCTAGAATGATTTTTGCTTCTTGGGTAATCACTGACATAATAAAAGGTGGAAAAAACGCGTTGTGAAGTTAGAGGGTAGGAAATTCGGGAAAAGTGTCCGAGGTACTGATATGTCCGACGTACTGATAAACCACGTTATGTAAATATCATGTGATTTAATATTAGAGCTGAATATCATGATATGTATCATAATATCACAGTATTAATATTGCTTTTTTTTTTCTTCAATTTCCGAATATTTGCTTTTGATTTTTCAGTATCAAATCCACTCCCACCATCTCTATCAATTATCTCCTTAGTTATTACCAACGCAATATGGCCTCACTAGGACCAGAATCAACTATTCCCTCAATGTTAGATCCTGATATGTTTGTTGAATCTCACGTCTCAATACCTGCCTCTGCAACTCAACAATCCACCCAGTCAACAGAGTCAATTAGAAGTACGAAACGGCCTCGTACCTCATTTGTTTGGAAGCATATGCCTGGTCCAGTAAATACTATATATATTCAAGGCAAATATGTCTACTGGCGATGTCAATACTGCCCACGAGAGTAGAGAATCTGGAGGTACAGCATTTATTGCACAACATCTACAAACAGAGCATAACATCACAGATGAGGAGAAAGAGCAACGTGCCATCTCTCAACAACTTAGTATTGAATCTGCCTTTCGACATGGAGAAGAGAACCAGAAAAAGTGTCGATGTCTAGATTCTTCTACTACTACTATCAACCCAGCAACACTCGAACAGCTATTTGTACGATGGATCTCCCGTTGTTCAGTTCCATTTCGAATGGTAGAGTATTCGGAATTTAGAGACCTTCTCTTCTTCCTCAATCCCGGCATCAATTCCTGGCTGCCTACAGACCACCACACTATCAAAAATTGGACCCTCACAGCCTACGAATTGGAGAGGCAACGTATACAACAAGGTCTTCAATCTGCGCAGTCTAAGATTCATTTCACAGTTGATCTATGGACCTCTACCAACTCTAAAGCGCTTCTCGGTATAATTGGTCACTACTTTGCAGATAATGGAGACCTCCGACAGTCAGTTCTAGCTTTGAGAGAATTGGAAGGATGACATACTGGTGATAATCAGGCAAGACTAATTATGAGAATTATTGAAGAGTATGGAATTGCTCGAAGGTTGGCTATTTTATGATGGACAATGCTGAGAACAATGAAACTATGATGAGAGCGCTTTCTTCCTGCAAGTTATTCCTCTTAGAAATAGCTATTACCAATAACTAACTATATTGTTTAGTACTACAGGAACAGTATCAAATCGAATACAATCCAATTCACCACTGACTTCGTTGTAATGGTCATATTATCAATTTAACTGCTCAGGCCTTTCTCTTTTCAACTGAAGAAGAAGCCCTATCACAAGAGAACAATCAAGGCAGTTCTGATACTCCTTCTGAGCTTGAAATGGAGAGATGGCATCAGAAAGGTCCTCTTGGAAAGCTTCATAATATTGTAGTATATATTCAAAGATCTCCACAACGAATTGCTGACTTTGTCATCAGTTCTGGAAAGCGTCTAGTCAGGGATAACAAGACTCGATGGAACTCCTGGTATGCTATGATTGACTGCGCTATCCAAGAGCATATACACTTGGCAATTGACCTATTCTGCCATCAAACTGGAAAGGATATTGAGGCTGATTGGCTCTCCCATGAGGACTGGGTCATACTAACAAATATCCACCACTTTCTTAAGTTCTTTCATCAAGCAACACTAGCAACAGAGGGCCAAAGGGCAACAATTGAGCATATTCTCTCAACAATGGAATTTCTACTTGAGCAGCTTGAACTTGGCAAACTTGAGTATATCAACGATTCTCATATTAGCCCTTGTATCAATTCAGCCTGGTCTAAGTTAGACAAGTACTATAGCCTGACTGAACGATCTCCAGCTTATATTGCAGAAATGGTATTAGTACCATTTCAAAAATGGACTTGGATTGAAGACAACTGGGAGAGCACTTGGATAGTAACAGCAAAGGCATCTATGCAGCTATTTTGGGACGAGCAATACAAGCCAACACCTCAACTAGTAATGCCATCAAATGAGCTAGTACAGGAGAAGACTGAGCATCAAATCTGGCTTGAGCAGAAGAGGTGGCAGCCACCAGTTATTGGTGAGTATATCAAGTATTGCCTGGCAGGTATTACACCAGAAGTTGGCCCAAAGTCCTGGTTGTCATACTGACATTCGTTGCACTCAGTTTGCTATCAAACTCAAGAGCAAACTTAGAAATCTCCTCCTCAAACCTACAAGTCACCATACATATCTTGGCTTATCACACCAACAACAGAAGCAATACTACTCAACGATTGCTGCAAACTCTTCTACTACATCTGTTTATGCTACATACATCACGGCATATCATTTGGACACTCATTGAACAAGTTATTAAGAAAATCTCCTCCTTAAGGGGGTGGGTCAATACTACCACATGGCATATCTCTACCAACTAGAGGCCTAGGAACATGAACGATAGCTCTAGAAGCTTCTACAACCCTCTATGATTCATTACACGTCATCGCTCCTTAGTTACCCACAAGATTGGTTAAGTTATGACATAATTTGTCTATAGGTACTCTGACCTTGGACCTCCTTTTCACTTCCTATAGGCTAGGAACCCAAGAGATGGTTCTATGGGATTCTCTTACGTTCACTACATGATTAGCAAGCTAGTTGTGGGTCGCACTTGATTTCTAATACATTTACCAAGCCTGGTTAGTCATGGAAAGTCATGGAAAATGAGAGAACTACACTCCTTTGGCATAAATAGGATTGCCCTTTCCTTAAGAAAGGGCAAGCAGGCAATACAGTAAATCGACTAGCACATACTTCTACGTCTTTTCCAAGCTTCCAAGCATTGATCTTGTTATTCTCTGTTTTTGAAAAGTCAGTGAGGTGCTAACCTCTGACTTACCCCTGAGTTCTCAGACTCAACATTTGTTGCAACTTGTCTAAACCACTTCACCACATCATACACCTGATTGCTGCGTTGTGGAATAGTCTAAGCTACAACCCTTTGGCTCTGTTTCCTAAGACAGTGTGTTGTCTTAGTAAATTCATCCCTTCCTTGGGTGGCTAGATTCTCATATCTGGTGCACCCACCATTACACCGGTGGATGGAGCCAGCACAGTGTGCAACCTATCCCAACCTGGCGGTGATGGCATTAGAGATACTGTCAATACCAGCGATGTCTGCTGAGCCTTAATGCCTATTTTCCAGTGCTGCTCTCACAATTACTGTAAGAAGGAATAGGCTTGGAGTTGAGTCAGTTGAGGCATTAGAGTGCCTAAAATCCTGGTACAGGGGAGGAGGCACAGCTTGGGTAGATAATTGAATTAGTGACGACGGGTCGAGAGTAGATGACAGCAAGGTATATTGTTAGTATTGTAATATATTGCTATATCACCATATTAATATTATGATATAACGTGCATGTATAACGAAAGTGCCAAACAAGCGAAAGTGCCAAAATCATGCGGTGACCAACCCCCCCAACTAAATGTTAAATTCCTCCACAACAAAACATGCGCCATAAAAATGATGAAAGCAAATAACTGCAAGCTATCCAAGCTATGCAACGCGACCCAAATTTGCGCCTTCAAGTTGCAGCTAGGATCTATTCCGTAGACCACCCCAAGCTACGTCACCGTTTACAAGGCGTACCTTCACGACGCGATATCCAAGCCAACTTACGGAAATTAAGTAACCTAGAGGAATCAGTTCTTGTTCAGTATATACTTGACTTAGCTGCTAAAGGGTTCCCTCCTCAGTTGTCTATTGTTGAAGATATGGCAAATCGACTACTTGCAACACGCGACGCGCCACGCGTCGGGTCACGTTGGGCTTCAAACTTTGTTAAGCGCCATGTAGAGCTCCGGACACGCTTCCAGCGAAAATACGACTACCAGAGGGCTAAGTGCGAAGATCCAGAAGTCATTCGTGGCTGGTTTGAGCTTGTATGGAACACAATTCTAAAGTATGGCATCAACAATGCAGATATCTACAACTTTGATGAGACTGGGTTTATGATGGGCGTCATCTCAAGCGCAACGGTAGTAACGAGCTCAGATAGGCGGGCAAAGGCAAAAAAGGTGCAGCCTGGCAATCGGGAATGGGTTACAGTAATCCAAGGCGTTAGTTCTCAAGGTTGGGCAGTGCCGCCATTTGTCGTTGTGGCAGGTAAAAACCACCTTGCATCTTGGTATGAGAATAGTGGATTTCCAGCAGATTGGGTAATCGCTGTTACTGCAAATGGCTGGACTACAAACGAGAGAGGTATGGATTGGATTCAGCATTTTGAGAAGCACACAAAGCCCCGGAGTGTTGGTGGTTATCGCTTGTTAGTCCTTGATGGTCATGAGAGCCACCACTCAGACAAGTTTGAGGAGTACTGCAAAGAACACAACATTATTACGCTTTGTATGCCTGCTCACTCTTCCCATATACTCCAACCACTTGATGTTGGCTGTTTTGGCCCATTAAAGAGAGCTTACGGTCGGCAAATTAAAGATATGATGCGGGCTCATATTATTCACATTACTAAGGATGACTTCTTTCCTGCCTTCCACGCTGCATTTAACATTGCAATGACAGAAAGCAATATTCAGGGAGGGTTCCGAGGTGCTGGGCTTCTTCCATTTAGCCCTGAGAGTGTAATATCTACACTTGACCTTAGGTTTAAGACGCCAACACCTCCAACCTCTCGCCCAAACACCGCTCAACCATGGGTTTCTCAGACACCAAATAACCCAACTGAAGCTGTATCACAGTCTACTTTCATTAAAAACTGAATTGCGCATCATCAAAATAGCTCTCCAACCTCAATCTATGCAGCTGTTGACCAGTTTACAAAGGGTGCATCGGAAATAATGCATCAATTAGCATTGTTAAAAGCAGAGAACCAAAACCTGCGACAGGCAAATGAAGTGCTAAGCAAGCGCCGGAGAGCTAAAAAAACACGACTACAGCAAGGAGGATCACTTAGTCAACAGGTAGCACAGGAGCTACAGGACGAAAGGGACGTTGTGCAGCAAGTAGAGCAAGAAATAAGGGCAAGTAGTGGTCGGAAGCCAAGGGAAGAAACCCATGCACGTCGCTGTGGCAAGTGTACAATCTGACAAGTGCGCGCATTGTGTATGGCGTGATACAATATCGCAAGATGTAATATGGTGACAATATCATATACCATAATTCTGACAATATATCATGATATCATATTATTCCCCACACTGCCCCAATTCCATAAGCAAAGTAGATATCTAAGTGTAGACAGTGATAATCAGTTCCGTTTCTTTGTGATAATATCACCGCCAACACTAAATACTCGTTCTGAGTCCGCTGAGGTAGCTGGAATAGCTAGGTGGTCCTTTGCTATAGAAGCAATCAACGGATATTGGAATTGCTTACTCTGCTAATATTTGAGAATATCCGTGTCCCTACCAACTGTCGGCTCCTTCATCCATTGTTTCCATTCTGGCTCAGTATTGTGATGGCTTTGCGATATGTATAGCTCGTCTTCTGAGTCTATATCGATACTCATAGCTTGCTGCTCTAGATCTAGATCCTCATCTTTAATACTATTAATAATGTTTGCTGCTCGAATATCAGACTCGCGGCCTGAATATCGGTAGAAGCAGTCCTGCCACTATGCCTTTGCCCTGTTCTTTTTGATCGACTGTGTACTGTCTTTCCATATGATATTGAAAACGTTAAAATTATACCGAGGATTACAAATTGTTGCAATTGTAGAGTGACTCTGTTCCTGATTCGTAGCTAGAGTATAGTAATCATTAAGCTTCCTTAATGCAATTAAAGTAGCATTAGCAATTGGGCGTTCTAGTAGCTCACTTTTCATATCTTCAAGCTTCTTGATCATTCTCATATACTGTGGAACAGCGTAGTTGAGAGTTGGATAAGAAGAGCCCTGTAGCTTCTTAGTTAGGCAGATAAAGATATAGAATAGCTTTAATAAGTCATGTAACGTAGCCCAATCTATTGCTGTTAAAGCAATATCCCTTATACTAATATCAAGTTGCTGTGATGCGCATAAAGCTGTAATCGGAACCTGAAGCTTTAAAGCTATATCAATCATTTGATAAGTTGAGCTCTAGCGGACTGGCATATCAAGTGTCAACTGACGGACTGAAATACCTATAGCTTTACACTGATTCTTTAAGGCATCTTTCTATCTGCAGCAGTTCCGAAATACATATATATGACGCCGGAGCTTAGCAAGAACAGTCACAATTTCGTTTTCAGCAGCAGTTGGTATTCGCGCAGCCCTAACCTTAAGCCAGTATACCTCAACCCTTTTGTTAGGTGTTGCCTTTAAGGAAGCTAAAGCAGCTTAAACAGCAATGTTGATAATATGCCTAATACAGCGTATGTCTCCTGCTTTTGCTGTAAAATCCTACAGTTGTTTCAAGGAAATAGGGGTCGTCGATGCTAGTTTCTCATACTCTAATAGCATAGTTGTATTTGTAGGCATTATCTCTTGTAACTGTGAAGATAGCAGGCGTAATATTATAATCATCTGTTACACTTATCATCTGTTCGGCGAGGTATTCACTAGAGTGGATCGGCTCTCGAAGGTGTATAACGTCAAGTATCGTAGTTCTCATTTGCCAATTATCATTTATCTAGTGCACAGTAACTGCTGCGTATTTAGAGTAGTTCCGAGTAGACCAAGTATTAGTTGTTATTGCTAGTCGTCCACCATTTATAACATGCTGCTGTAGCTCTACTTGAAGCCGTGCTTTATGATAGCAGAATAGACGATATAGATCCCGTCTGATTGTAGTTCTACTAACTGCAAAACCGTAGGGTTTAGATAATGAACTAATTGCCAGAATGAGTGGCTTTCTACAAGGCGTAGCGGTAGGTTATTTGATACCACAAAAGAGAGTACAAGCTCTCTATATTTCGACGAGCTTGATGCGTTACTAGCTGCTTAGCGGGGCTGGAAAAAAGCAGAAGCAGAAGTAGACGGCGTTGACGAGCTTCTAATTGAGGAGGATAGCTTCTCGTATTCTACGTGCACAGATGGGTGCATTTTCTTAAGATGCTTCTAAAGATTGCTCGTCGTCTGGCTCTTTAGTGGCTGGCTCGGCATATAGCTACAATTGGTTTGAAGGCATTGGTATTGGATTCTAACAGGTATTGTATCTAATAAAGTACGGTAGAATAGCCCTTTCGAAAAGAGGATTGATGTAGAATCAGTAATTGAACTCTTAAAGGCATATGCAGCATCGGAATAAGGGGCGGCAGCTCTAAAGCATCAGACTAATACTCAGCCGGCACCGGCGACAGAGAAGAGCCACTCATTTTCACAGTCAGGAAGTAATACAGAACGCTCAAGTGGAAGAAAGCTTCAATTATCTATTCTATTCTACGCCCAGTTACCCCTCATTCCAAGGGCTTGGCAGTATTCGGAGTATTCGGAGTAGTACTCGGCGAGTCCCCGAGTACTCAAAAATATCACCCGAGTACAGTACTACTCGGGCAACACTGACAATTGCCCGTATTTCTGGAATGCCCGTAATGCTGACCGTCACCATATTATCACATAAGCTAGTTTGGTGACGGAGGAGGCTCGCTCGAACGATTAAGTGTCTCTAAACCAAGGACTCCAAAACAGATTCTGAGGGTCCCAGAGACTCTTGACCCTTCTGAGCTCCAGGATAGCTTCTTGGTCAAATATTTCTCCGAGCTTCGTATGAGGCCGCATGTTATTAAGCACAGTTCTGGGGACGCTCTTCACGTTGCCTCGCCTGACGATGGCCTTGAACGCTGCCGCAAATGCCTCAGCCTTGTCCCTCAAGTCTGGTTTGGTGTAGCAGGTCATCGCAATGCATGCGGTTCCTCTGTCTCTAGTCCCGATGAATTCACCAGGTTGCCTGGCCTTTTCGGAGAAGGACGTGTCGAATCGACTGAATGCCAGCATCGTCCTGTTGGCATCCTCGTTTGCAGAAGTGAATGCCAGCCACAGATGGAAAGCCTCTTCGACTGCACCGGCCGATATCGCATTGAGCGCCGCAACGTTGATGTCTCTGTAGCCACCAGTCGTGTTCGGGGTCGCATCGTTGAGATTCACATACGGTTCGCAGACGGTCACCGCTATGCTCGCCTTTTCGACGAGCCTCTCTTCAAAGAGGACAGCAGTCTCCCTCTCTGCTTCCTGCTTGCTTCCGCAATATGTTGCATCCAAAACCACAAAAGGTGTGCCAGGAGATGGCGTACCTGGCGGTGCGTTGCCACAGGCGAGGGCTACAATTAGTTTTGGATCGAGATGGTCAAAGGAAACAAGCGCTTCGGCGGCAGCGCGTATCTCAGAGGCTGGGAATATGAGTCGGCGGGTAACAAACTGGATGTTTTCCATCCCAAGTCCGGACAGCGGATAGACCTTCATGGTGATGGACACGACGACGCCGTATCCAAGGCCAGCGCCGTTCAACACCTTGAATAGGGACCGCTCTTCTCCAGCAGCGGTACTGTCTAGATTAAGGGCCCTTCCATCGGCGGTGATGATTCGAAAGGACTCGACGTTGTCAACAGTCAAGCCATGCAGGCCGATAAAATGATGCTGCAAATACAGTCAAATTAGGCCCAGCGTCTTGCATCTTTGCTATATCGGACTCGAAAAGAAACAACTTACCCCGCCGCCTCCAAGCACGAACCCCGCCATGCCAACCGCATTACTGCTCGGAAGGACTGTGTAGAATCCGAGCTCAGCAAGATACGTCAGGACGCGACCAGCACGCACTCCGCCGCCAAATGTGACCGTCTGGCTGCCCTCGTTCAGTTCGAGTCGATCGAACTTGTCGAGACTGAGGTATAGGGTATCTTTCGTGATGGGCACAAATGCTGCATTCCCGCCTCCAGCCACCACGACCGTGAGACGGCGCTCGTGCCCATATTCCAATGCCTGAATAATGTGCCCTTCATCGTCGGGGGTAACATGAAGTGCTGGTCTGTCCACATTGCTGTATGACCATCGTGCCAGCGTTTCCCCGATTGGGACTCGGGGATCAGGCAGTACTACTGGGCAAGCAAATGGAGTATTGGAGCCCATGGCGATTTCGGTTCTTGGCCGGGTGACGAGTCGAGAGGAGAAAATCACAAAGAGAACGAGGGACAAGTTACAGCATAAGCAAACAATAGACCGAGACATAAACAGCATCCAGGGCACACGATTTGAGCAGACTTGCTCGTGGTGCCGGCACTTGCGACTCACGGCACTGCAATTGGATTTGTTCCGTTTTGCTCGCAAATGGTGTTATTCGCCAGCACCATAATGGTCCTCGTTCCGGACGTAGTACTCGCCTGTAACAGGCTTACTTGTGAATGGCATGTACTCATAAGTTACAGTACGGCGACAAAAGGATTCATACGGGTCTGTGCGCAAAGAGCAGTGAACAAGTGTTTTTTTTGTATGGGAAGACGCTCGGGCCCGTACGAATCCTTTTGTCGCCGTACTGTATATATGTGGTTGTTGGTTTACTAGCTTATAAATGTCGCAACCACGTCTCACAGCTAATCTACTGGTAGAAGAATATAATAACAACATGCTATATAGTATAAAAAGTAGTTATATATGGTCTTGGCGTCAATATCAGCAATTCTATGGTTCTAGATCAATGCCCTTCTATTATGATATGTCTTAAAATCCACTTTATATTATTTTTAACGTTGTTACAATAGAAGCGGAATATCGGGAATTTGAAACAAACAAATATATGAGGCGCCGACGAGGTTTTATAGCTACATCGAGCTTAAAAGATAAATCAATTAATTACGGATATGGGTATGAGACTATGTAGCTTGTGAGCAAGCTAATTACTTGAATATGAGCTTGTTGGCGACTACTATTATGGTACTCACGAAAACCGATCATTCCGGATAAAACGGAATAGATCCAGTGTTTTCAGTAGTATTGCCCGTATACGGGAGGCTCTCGTATACGGGCCCGTATTATACTTAAGTATTCATACGACCCGTATCATAACACCTCTTCGCCGCTAGTATTATACTTAAGTATTGCTGGCCATACTTCAGTATTGTACTGGCAATACTTAAGTATTTCACGTGATCCTTTCACAATTTTCAGGTCGTCGTGAAAACTCTGCATTTTATCCTTACGTCTTATGATTCAGCCTACATCATGGCTTCTGAACCTTCTGATGTTGTATCTACTATCGAAAGTGAACAATTTAATCAGTTTGAACAGGATACTACAACCTCATCAACTATTGGCTGCTCTATTCCGTCCCAATCTACCTCCCGTACTACGTCAAAGGTAGCTAAGCTACGCACATCACCGATATGGGACTTTACAAAAGTAGGACGTTATGAAATAACCTTCAATATCTACGGCAAGGAGTCCTGGTGTTGCAAGTTCTGTTCTAAGGAGTATACTGTTGGTGGGGGCACTAATATCATCATCAAGCACTTAAAGGAGCGCCATTCCATTGACTTGAAAACACCACAAGAGCAACGCATTGATGGATATCAATCCACAATAGCTGTAGCCTTTGCCAGGCCACACACAATCAATCATAAACGCCGTAGACTCAACGATGTCACTGCTGTTAGGCCTTTAGATCCACGTGTTCTTGAAGATCTCTATGTGCGCTGGATAGTAGCATGTGGAATTGCATTCCGAATGGTTTCAATCCCCGAGTTCCGCACGTAAGTAGTATTACCTTTCATGATTTAAGGCTTTTATTAATATATATATAGCATGCTTCACTATTTAAATCCAGCCATCAATGAATGGCTGCCTCATAGCTCGACAACAATTCACGATTGGGTCCTTCGTAAATATACAGAAGAGAAGGTCATCATTCGACAGGCTGTTCAAGCTGCCCTTACAAATATACACTTTACAGTGGACTTATGGACTTCTCCAAATTCCCTTGCAATCCTCGGCATTGTCGCTCACTATATATCAGCAACTGGTAATCTAGATAACTCTGTTCTTGCACTACGAGAAGTTAATGGCGAGCATTCTGGTGAGAACCAAGCTGTGGAAATTCTTGATGTTATCAACGACTATGGCATTGCTTCAAAAGTTGGTTATTTTGTAATGGACAATGCAACAAATAATGATACAATGATCAAGGAGCTTTCGAAAAAGCTGAAAGAGGAGCATGAGATAATATGGGACCCTAGGCGACATAGATTACGGTGTAACGGCCATGTGATCAACCTCGCTGTTCAAGCCTTTCTCTTTGCAAGTGATGAGGAGGACCTCTCACAGGATAATAATACGGAGCTATTGTCGTCGCCGACAGAAATAGAGATGGAGCAGTGGAGAAAGAAAGGTCCACTTGGTAAACTACATAACATTGTAGTTTATATCCAACGCAGCCCACAACGTATCGCCAGCTTTAAGTTGATGAGCAATAACCTATGTTTGTTGAGAGATAATTCAACACGTTGGAATAGCTGGTATTCAATGCTACAACGGGCGCTACGGGTACAACATGCTATAGAACTGTTCTGCGTAAAATTCAAGGAGAATGAGAATGACCTCCGTAAGTACATATTTATGTCTCTTAAATTTAATTATTTACTAATATTTAAGTAGTTTCACAAGGGGACTGGCAGGACCTTCGAAATATGGCCTGTATTCTCAAGAACTTTGCAGATGCAACACTTGCTACAGAAGGTTATGCCTCGAGCATTGATTTAACACTCCAATCGATGGACTTCTTACTTCACGTGTTTGAAACTGCGAAGAATGATTATGCAATGGACCCGTTCCTTGGTCCTTGTTGTAATGCTGGGTGGAAGAAGTTGGATAAATACTACAGTATGACAGACAGGACTTCGGCATATACAGCGGCGTTAGTATTATGCCCACAATGGAAGTGGACTTACTTCAAATCAGAATGGAAGGCTGATTGGGTTGCTGAAGCACGTGTCAAGGTTGAGGAGCTGTGGGTCAACAAATACAAAGCATTGGCAGTTAGTGCAGAGATCGCAGAAGTTGAAGGTGAAGATACTGAGAAGCCGCTTTCGAATGAGTTTCTTACATGGCGTACACAAAAGCGGGGTATTGACGTTATTCAAGATGAATATACTCAGTATTTACAAGCCCCAATTGTTAAAACTGATGATGCGAGAGCATGGTGGGCTGAGCCTACTCAACGGGCTACATTTCCAAACTTAAGTGTAATGGCATTAGATTTGTTATCAATACCCTCAATGTCTGCAGCGCCTGAAAGGCTGTTCTCTGGTGCGAAAATCACGATTTCCGACCGTAGGAACAGGCTAGGTATTATGGCAATTCAAGCTGTTGAGTGCTTGAAGTCTTGGTTTAAGAAGAATAAGAGTACAGCTTTGCCGTTTGTAGATGATGAGCTGTCAACACTCCCAGATACATTGTTGCAAGAGGCAGCGATGACTATGATATCTAGCTAGTTCAATATGTTCTGAAATTCACAGGGTTATAGAGTATACAGTTTTTACAGCTTCAATTTTTTTTAACATTACATGAAATACTTAAGTATTGCCCGTATTAATACTTAAGTATTGATACAGAGCTCACTAGTATCATATCAAGCTTCACCCGTACCGTATTGATACGGCCCGTATCATAATGGCCCGAATACTTAAGTATTATACTAATGGGAACACTGAATAGATCACCTCGGAAAGCTTATGTATGACATTGCACACTAAATCACTCATAAGGATTTTGCCAGAGGCTGAAACGTGGAGCCACAGTGACGGAGGTGCAGAGGGTGCGACCTTGGAATCCATTTGCATACACTAGCGTATGGCGGGTTGGTTCACATGCTGGGAGGCACAGTTCTGCTGTATTATAGTCTCCGCTGTTCTAAGCAGTCCCTGCCTCTGCAACTAATGACTACCTTCACCCCTAGCAAAACTTTAACGCCGAACAACTTGCTTGCTTACAGTAGACGGAACGAAAGTCTTGTCCCGAGCCCCCTGCAACACCAAGGTATCTATCGTATCGCAGACTACTCCCACGGGTAACATGATATGGTCTTATTCCAATGGGCAATTAGCTCGCCATGCATGCCCCGAGGTTAGACTCAACCGTTCTGGTTGGCTCGCTCGGTTCGCCAGGCCGACGGCCGATCTCCCTCTCGTATTCTCTAAAATCGTGATAGATAGTCAAGCTAGTAAAGATAAGTCCAGGGCGTCTGATCAGGGACTCAGTTTTTGGTTCTGGTTGGAGGTAACGCACGAAAGCTCCAAAAAGGTATAGTTGAGTAAAGTAAATAACCCAGCGATGCCTATTGGAGGGGGAGTTCTCGTCGGGGTATAGGAAATGAATTAGAGCGATGTGGATAGCAATGAAGCCAAAGGCGGCCTTCGTCATGTCGTTGATGATTTCCGCCATAGTTTCTCGCTGGTGAAAGTTGACCTAGTTAATTTCAAACTAAGAGGAACTTTATGTTGCACGGTTGGAGCGAAGAGAGTCACTTTAATAGTTCCTTGGAGTAGATATGTGGCTTTTGTTCCGACCGCTATCAGTTTCAAAATAGTTTGAATTGTACAGGAACGAGGCTGACAGAACAGTCATTATATAATCGCCGGATCCGACCGTCGCTTCGCTCTAGGTCGGAGGAAGCAAATTGTCCACACTCGCGTGTCCGCGCGTGTCGGGCAACAAAATCTAAACAAGTCTCTTCATACTGTAATTTGTATGTAATAGTACTTTAAATAATTAACAATGCAAGTCTACTTCGTGATGCAAAGGCATGGCTTCAGGAGAACCCATTAGAATCTCCTAGAGTTGCGGCTCAGATTTTCAAGATCAATCACAGCACTCTGTACCGGTCAATTGCTCGCAACACTCCTACACCGCACAAGGCCGGAGGCCACAACAAACTGTTGTCAGACACTCAAATAGCTGTCTTAAAGCAATGGATCCATCATCAATATGAGGATGGGTTAGGCGCTACCCGCGAAATGACCTACGCTGCGGTCTGTTATCTGCGTCGCCCTGCACCAGCTCCGTCGCAGACGAAATTCATTAAACACCAACTCTCGGAATTCCACAGTATCACAACTAAGCCAATTTCCCAACACAAGATGAATCTACAGTCACTATGTGGTTTGAAGAATACTTTGAGTTCCTAAACATACATGGGATTCAGCCAGACTCCATTTGGAATATGGATGAGACTGGGTTCCCTGTCGGCATCTCGCTAGTGGCTTGGTCAATCATATAAGAGCATGTCCCCGCCAGCCTGAAAAGCAATTCTATCATATCCCTCTGACACCCGCAGTATGGCTCTAACCTACGACCCTGAGTATTTCAAGGTATTGGAGCCGATGCTCCCGATCTTGGCGGCTCAGCCGGTCCTCCCAGTCCACAATATTGAAGGTCGGCGTGAGCGATTAAAGGCCTTTTTCGACAACTCCAGTATTCCCCCAGCCCAAGGCGTATCCATTGACAAGTTGACGGTAAAGTCCTACGACGGAGCAGACATTGACGTCTTCCGAATCGCCCCGGAAAAGCCAACCTTGTCCGGAAAAGCGACGGCGGCTTACATCCACGCGCATGGAGGCGGTTTTACATCTGGCACCGCCGAAATGTTCTCCAAAGCTGTTGCGCTCACTGTGGCCACGACTCAGGTCCCGTTCTTCTCCATCGAGTACCGCAAGGCACCAGAACATGCGCACCCTACGCCTGCCGAGGACATTTACGCTGCCCTTGCATGGCTTCAGGAGAATGCAGCCACGTTCAATATTGATCCTGCTAAAATTGGCATTACCGGAGAGTCCGCGGGAGGTGGCCTCGCCGCTGCGGTGGCCATTATGGCTCGCGACCGAAAGCTGAGCCCTCCACTCGCCAAACAAGTGCTCATCTATCCGATGCTCGACGATCGAAACCTGGAGCCAATTGATGGCCTGGACCATCTTGCGTTCTGGAACGCTGCCGATAATGTCACGGGCTGGACGGCATTATTGGGTGACCAGGTGGCCGGTGAGGAAGGAGTCTCGGCATACGCTTCACCCGCACGCGTTGCCGCCGTGCAGGGCTTGCCACCGCTATATATTGATGTGGGCGAACTAGACATTCTCAAAGCTGAAGTTCTGGAATATGCATTACGATTCACAAAAGCCGGTATCAGTACGGAGTGTCACCTTTACCCTGGCCTCCCGCATGGCTGGGAGGCTGTTGCACCACATATTCCGGCCACAATCAAAGCAACAGAAAATCGCTTGCGGGCATATACTAGCATTTGATGAATCAAAAATCTAAGTCAATTTGAAAATCTACTCAATGGATTCTTTACTAAATGTATGTCATTCATGGCTTCAAACTCTTGCAAACATTGACTATTTCTTGTTAATTTCAGTAGGGTAGTCGTCTATAGTTGTTTAAAGTTAATTAAAATACAACCTGATTATTAAATTAGTACTTCTAATATATGTTAAACTATTGAAGATATATCCCTCATAGTGTAGGGAACGGAAGCAGGAGGCTGATGAATCAGGTATAGATTGACTAGAGAAAGAAGATGATTCTTAGGGAACCATCAGGATATAAAGTAAGGTGTCTACACGTGACCCACTAGCTTAAGGCTAGTGACGGCACCACCACGTGACATACTCTGATTTCCTTAACATAAACTCTTAGATTGTTTATTCACAGCCTTTTAAATCTACTCATAAAGTGATTATATAATGTAGTTAATGACTTGTTTTCAAGGCAGTTCTAATTGAATAAGAAATGGTAAGAAGATTCAAGACTTGGAGGCTCTTTGTGAAAACACGGCTAGCTTTCTATTCCTTCTTGAAAGCTTTCGCAAAGATCTGTCAGTCCCTCGTGACGCTTCAGCTTGGCATCTTCAATCACCTCTTAGGGAAGAGTTAATAATAAATTGTTGCAGGAATCGGGGTTCAGAGCCACGGGAGCCACTGGCGTGGTACCCACCCACATATATAGTTCTCAGTAGTTGTAACATATATACTTCAACTAACGTGTAATGAATCATAGAGGGTTGTAGAAGCTTCTAGAGCTATCGTTCATGTTCCTAGGCCTCTAGTTGGTAGAGATATGCCATGTGGTAGTATTGGCCCACCCCCTTAAGGAGGAGATTTTCTTAATAACTTGTTCAATGAGTGTCCAAATGATATGCCGTGATGTATGTAGCATAAACAGATGTAGTAGAAGAGTTTGCAGCAATCGTTGAGTAGTATTGCTTCTGTTGTTGATGTGATAAGCCAAGATATGTATGTTGACTTGTAGATTTGAGGAGAGATTTCTAAGCTTGCTCTTGAGTTTGATAGCAAACTGAGTGCAACGAATGTCAGTATGACAATTGAGCTGTCCACTCCATTTTGCGCATATCAAGACGGCACAGCCGAACGAAGCTTTCGCACCATTTTTGAACGTGTTTGATCCGCTGCAATCAATCAGCGAATTCCTGAATTCCTATGGCCAGAGCTGTTTCAAGCTGCCATTTACATCTCAAACAGAGTGGCCACTTCAACCATTGATGGGAAGACACCATTTGAAGCATTTTGGGACGAAATTGAACCAGGGGTGAATCACACACCTAACATCGCCCACTTGCGAGTTCTAGGATGCAAGACGTATGTTATTATCCAAAAGGAACGCAGAGTGGAAAGCCAGAAGCTTGCCTCAAGGGCAGAAGTCAGCATTCTCGTTGGATATGAGGGTCATAACATTTTTCGAGTTTACGTCCCCTCTTGAGCTGGAGAGAAGATTATAAGAACTTCGCATGGTCAATTTGATGAAGGCAGTGGTTTCATTATAGAGCCAACATTTGACCAAATGAGTGACGAAAATGTCCAAGCAGCCCACAACAACGCAGTGGAAGAAATGGATGAACTGTGATACCCTCCACCTTCCGTCTCAATAAATAAAGACTATGAAGGACAGACTCTAGACCTAATTCACAATCAGGAGAATGCAGAAGAAACTCCTCAAGATCAGCCAGATGCAGAAATCAAGCTGTATCAGTCTATGGTTGGATCTCTAATGTATCTAGCCACGAACACTCAACCGGATATCAACTATTGCATGTCCGTTCTATCTTGTTTTCTCGCAAACCCCTCGCCACAGCATATTGCAGCTGCTCGTCGCTGTCTGCAGTATCTCGCAGGCTCTATTCATCTGTGCATCTGTTATGGAGGCGATTGGAAGGATGATGAGGCTATGGCATTAAGAGGATATGTCGATGCAGACTTCGCAGGCGACAGAAGCAATGCAAGTCTCACACAGGATGCGTCTACCTTTTCTGTGGAGGCATCATTGTGAGCATTTCGAAGAGACAGCCAACCATTGCAGTTGCGACTACTGAAGCTGAATATGTGGCTATGTTTAAGGCTGCAGAGGAAGGAGCATGGCTTCGACAGGTATTTAAGGAGCTTGGATATAAGAAGAAGGATGCACTCACAACAGAAATCATCGGCGACAACCAAGGAGCTCTTGCACTTGCAGAGAATCCAGAGTTTCATCAGCGAACGAAGCACATCGACATCAAATACCACTACATCCGAAATCAAGTGAAGGAAAACCTTGTTGATCTATATTATGTGTATACGAAGGAGATGTGATGAAGCCACTATCAACGATGGATCATCAGAGATTCATTGAGCTGATCAAGCTTAAACAGCTTCCAAAGATGGACTGATTATAGGTTACGGATGAAGAACTAGGGGTGCTACTAACTGTTGATATGTTTTCTACAATATCACCAGAGGGGTGTGTTGTGTCATACTGACATTCGTTGCACTCAGTTTGCTATCAAACTCAAGAGCAAACTTAGAAATCTCCTCCTCAAACCTACAAGTCACCATACATATCTTGGCTTATCACACCAACAACAGAAGCAATACTACTCAATGATTGCTGCAAACTCTTCTACTACATTTGTTTATGCTACATTATAATGGTGGGTGCACCAGATATGAGAATCTAGCCACCCAAGGAAGGGATGAATTTACTAAGACAACACACTGTCTTAGGAAACAGAGCCAAAGGGTTGTAGCTTAGACTATTCCACAACGCAGCAATCAGGTGTATGATGTGGTGAAGTGGTTTAGACAAGTTGCAACAAATGTTGAGTCTGGGAACTCAGGGGTAAGTCAGAGGTTAGCACCTCACTGACTTTTCAAAAACAGAGAATAACAAGATCAATGCTTGGAAGCTTGGAAAAGACGTAGAAGTATGTGCTAGTCAATTTACTGTATTGTCTGCTTGCCCTTTCTTAAGGAAAGGGCAATCCTATTTATGCCAAAGGAGTGTAGTTCTCTTATTTTCCATGACTTTCCATGACTAACCAGGCTTGGTAAATGTATTAGAAATCAAGTGCGACCCACAACTAGCTTGCTAATCATGTAGTGAACGTAAGAGAATCCCATAGAACCATCTCTTGGGTTCCTAGCCTATAGGAAGTGAAAAGGAGGTCCAAGGTCAGAGTACCTATAGACAAATTATGTCATAACTTAACCAATCTTGTGGGTAACTAAGGAGCGATGACATGTAATGAATCATAGAGGGTTGTAGAAGCTTCTAGAGCTATCGTTCATGTTCCTAGGCCTCTAGTTGGTAGAGATATGCCATGTGGTAGTATTGGCCCACCCCCTTAAGGAGGAGATTTTCTTAATAACTTGTTCAATGAGTGTCCAAATGATATGCCGTGATGTATGTAGCATAAACAGATGTAGTAGAAGAGTTTGCAGCAATCGTTGAGTAGTATTGCTTCTGTTGTTGGTGTGATAAGCCAAGATATGTATGGTGACTTGTAGGTTTGAGGAGGAGATTTCTAAGTTTGCTCTTGAGTTTGATAGCAAACTGAGTGCAACGAATGTCAGTATGACATACATACATCACGGCATATCATTTGGACACTCATTGAAACCAACTAGAGGCCTAGGAACATGAACGATAGCTCTAGAAGCTTCTACAACCCTCTATGATTCATTACACGTCATCACTCCTTAGTTACCCACAAGATTGGTTAAGTTATGACATAATTTGTCTATAGGTACTCTGACCTTGGACCTCCTTTTCACTTCCTATAGGCTAGGAACCCAAGAGATGGTTCTATGGGATTCTCTTACGTTCACTACATGATTAGCAAGCTAGTTGTGGGTCGCACTTGATTTCTAATACATTTACCAAGCCTGGTTAGTCATGGAAAGTCATGGAAAATGAGAGAACTACACTCCTTTGGCATAAATAGGATTGCCCTTTCCTTAAGAAAGTGCAAGCAGACAATACAGTAAATTGACTAGCACATACTTCTACGTCTTTTCCAAGCTTCCAAGCATTCATCTTGTTACTCCTTGTTTCTGAAAAGTCAGTGAGGTGTTAACCTCTGACTTACCCCTGAGTTCCCAGACTCAACATTTGTTGCAACTTGTCTAAACCACTTCACTACATCATACACCTGATTGCTGCGTTGTGGAATAGTCTAAGCTACAACCCTTTGGCTCTGTTTCCTAAGACAGTGTGTTGTCTTAGTAAAATCATCCCTTCCTTGGGTGGCTAGATTCTCACATCTGGTGCACCCACCATTACATGTTGCAGGAATCGGGGTTCAGAGCCACGGGAGCCACTGGCGTGGCACCCACCCACATATATAGTTCTCAGTAGTTGTAACCTGTGGAACAATATCCGTAGGATCCGTGGCAGTAGGTAGAGAATATAAACTGAAAATATAGTCATGAAGCAGTAGGGCCCGAAGTGATAATTTTGTAATGCATATTCTTATAATTGAAGCTATTCTAACTACTATATATATATACTGTCACGGGCTCTATTCCTGTGCCTGTTCGCGGCTCGGATCCTGAAACCCTCCTGGTTTCCCTAGAGCTTCAGAATCGAAGCTTTAGAACCGGAAGATCCAGTATCCGGAGGATCACGAAGCTGGCTGACACAGCTTCGGTATCAGGGCCCTGATCCCTGCTTCCGGGCCGAGAATTCAACATAACCTATATACTTCAACTAATCAACAACTTGTCTACCACCAACACTTCCAATGACCTCCAGTGACTATGTGTTACATAAATCTTTAGCTTCTGCTAGGAGCCACCTACCAGAAGTGGCGTCACTTGAATATTGACCGCGAATTCCACGTATGTACTGCTCGGCAGCGCCACTAGTGATGGGATAGAGCCGCAGAGTGCTCAACGCACCAGCGTGCGGCAGGCCCCATGGTTCGCACTTGATGATGTTGAATGACATGGACTGCTTGATGGTCTAGAGTACAACTGTAAACATCCCCGCTGAAGGGATAGCAGAGTGATTGACTTACGGAATACTCCTCTTCTCTCATCGTCTATGGTCCTATTCTCAAAGTTCCACCGAACAGTCTCCCTCTCGTCAGGCGTAGCGGGAGCCAACTCGCTCTTCTGAATTGCCGTATAAAACGTGGCAAATTTGTTCAACTTGATCAAGGGCCAGATGACCGAGATTGGCGCGTTAATCACGGCAGATTCGGTAAATGATGTAGAAGTGACCATGATCGTTGATTGGATGCGCGGATAGAGTGGGTGGCTTGGATTATTGTCAAGTCTAGCTGATTAAATACAGGGTAAAGTCATTTTTGACAGAGCTCTGTAATCGCATAACTATATGTTATACTGGACCCCACTACGCCGTAAGCACCTTCGGCGCCATTAGCACCCTCAGCACCCTCAACACCATCCAGCACCCCTAGCACCCCTAGCACCACGAACACACACATTGAGGGGCAGGAGACTCGGTAGTAGCATTTTAAAAATTATGAAGAACAAGCTTCAAAAATAATGTTGGGAGACTGCTAGAAAACGCACCTGTTAACGGCTGATGTGGGAAGAGACATCGTGATCGAAGTTACAACTCCCATTTCAAGAGCAGCTTGCACGTAACCGTCTATTTTTCTGCTACATACTTGATTGCGGCGTCGACAACATACCTCGAACGAGGAGACAATAGCAATGGACAGCTTCCTCTCCCAACTGTCATTCAGCCACGATGCATCTGCTTCTTACACAGTATATGCTGTATGGCTTGGTAGCCTCAGTATCAGCCTCTACCTAGCCTACCGGTGGGCGTTGCCAAAGCCGATACCCGGGATTCCTTACAACAAAGAGGCTCTCAAGACAGTCTTTGGCGATGCACCTTCTCTGGTAAAGCACACAACTAAGACCCAGGAGCTGTACTCTTGGATGGTAGAACAGAACATAAAACTTCAATCTCCTATTATTCAGCTCTTTGTCCGACCGCTGGCGAAGCCTTGGGTTGTTATTGCTGACTTCCAAGAGGCTCAGGACGTTCTAATCCGTCGCACAAAAGAGTTTGACAAGTCGATCTGGTTCAAGGATGTCGCTGGTGCTGTTATGCCTGAAAGCCATATCTTTATGAGAACGACTCCTCGATTCAAGCAGCATCGCCGGATAATTCAAGATATCATGACCCCTGGGTTCCTGCACAACGTCGCCGCATTACACATTTATAACGTCGGGCAGGACGTTATCCGTCTCTGGGAGCAAAAGGCTAGAATTGCCGAAAGACATCCATTTTCCGTCATCCAGGATGTTCATTATGGAGCCCTGGACGCTATCTGGTCCATCATTTTCGGAGAAGACTCATCAGATAGTACAACGCGGGCGCAATTGGAACTATATTCAACCATGAAATCTGTTAATCTTCCTAGCAATAAGAACTCAGAGGTAAATCTACCACGCGCAGAATCTTCTGTGGCAGTTCAATCTGTCATGACCCATAGCCAGAGCATAGACGCAAGCCTCAAGTCGCCGGTGCCTTCATTGGCACATTGGGCCTATAGGCAGACTTCTGCTATGAAAAAAGCATTCAAAACCAAGGAGGAATTTATTCAAAAGGAGGTTCAGAGGTCTCAGCAAAGATTGGAAGAACAGGCTGGCAAGAGCGAGGTTCGGTGTGCAGTGGATAACATCCTGCGGCGAGAAGCTATCTTTGCAGAGAAAGAAGGGCGGAAAGTGGACTTCCACTCGAGGTATGTTTATGACGAGGTATGATGTCGCTATTCGTCCTGCAATTAAGAAGCTTACCAATTCACAGGTCCTCGGCCTTCTTATTGCTGCGCACGATACGACATCCACTTCGATCCTATGGGCGCTCAAGTTTTTGGCCGATTACCAAGAGGTGCAGACCAAGCTTCGAGAAGCACTTCGAACAGCACACATGGACGCAGTAGCAGAGAAGAGGTATCCAACTTTCCAGGAAATCGTAAATACCACTTCGCACTACAGGGACGCCGTTGTCGAAGAGATATTCCGCGTCTCTCTCACCGAGGCTGCCGTCTGTCGCACGTCCTTGGTCGACACAGAAATCCTAGGTCATTTCATTCCAAAGGATACCGAGGTCTTCTTCATGTGTAACGGCCCCAGTATTTTCTCGTCGCCATTCGTCATTGACGAGTCGACACGCAGCCCAACATACATTAAAGGCAATACCTGCAACTGGGACCCGGCTCATATGGCTGCCTTTGACCCCGATAGATGGCTCGTGGATCGAGACGGGCAGAAGGTGTTTGACCCCTCAGCAGGGCCACTACTCATCTTCAGCCTTGGAGAGCGTGGCTGTTATGGTCGCAAAATGGCATATTTGGAAATGAGGCTTTTTCTCACTCTGCTGGTCTGGGCTTTCGAATTTCAAGAGTGTCCGAAGAGTTTGAGCGGCTATGGAGCTATTGACAAGCTTGTTCATGCACCACAGCAGTGCTATATTATGCCTGTGAAGCTGACCCTATAATATACGGCAGAGGAAGACTATTTAGAGAATCAATTCAGGCATTTGGTATTGAGTGCATGATCAATATGTTTTTTAGCCTTTTATGAAAGCTTCAGCTTGCAGTGAAGAAATTGTCGGCAGCAGGAGCTGGCGTGAACACCACAGCCGAGACCTGTGTGAAATTCCAATCCTTAACCTAGTGTCAGAAAACCCTACTTATGATACTTCCTTTATTCCTACAAGGAGGTTCTTGGCTCCCGATCAATTGAAATTTAGAATTCCCGACATTAAAACTAAGTATTCTTAGTTGATTAAAAGACTCTTGTTCATCCCTAAATATATATAGCACGCAACAGGAACCAAAAATTACACAGCTCTAGTTTGTACACGCCATGAGTTGTCACAAAAAGAGTACACTACCATCTCTAGACGCTTCTTAGAGAGTCTCAGATTCATGTAAGATGTTCATGATCACTATCGTGACCAGTTACGAAGTGTAGAAAAGGAATTGCATTGTGATGATTCAACCATTTCTGCCAAGACAGCAGCTATCTACGCCTTGCGAAGCTCAACATTCCACGTATAATGTTCAAACCCAACCCTGTTCCTCACCTCCATATCCATTTCAAAGTCAGGCTGTGCCACTTGTGTCGCAGCGTTGCTGTTGGCCGTGGTTGGCATCACCCAGTCGCCGCCGCCAACAGGTCGCATTTCGTAGCGAGATATGAAGAGAGCGACGACGGCGAGAATCTCATTTGTGGCGAAGAACCTGCCCGGGCACAGATGCTTGCCGCCACCCCAGCTACGATAGCCGCTCTCATCTGGCAGCTTCTTTCCTGCTCCTTTGACAAACCGGTACGGGTCGAATGACTCGGCCTCTGGGCCCCAGTTGTCCCGGTCGTGGTGAAGGACTTGAAGAGGAATCTGCACCATGGAGCCTTTCTTGAGCAGATAGCCGCCGATATCCGTGTCCTGCACCACGATCCGGACAGCCGTTCCCATGCCTCGGAAGCGCAGACTCTCCTTCAGGGTGGAAGAAAGCAAGTGGCAGTCGTTCTTAATAGCAGTGATATCGATCATGGCCTTGTTTGTTTCTTTGTCGATTATCAATGCCGCGTCTACTTCTGCGCGCAGCTCCTCCAGTAATCCCGGGGTGGTATGGACCAGCAGTAACATCCAGTAGCAAGATGGAAGCGTATTGACCAAGATTGCAATAGTCCCTCCGATTTCAAAGCGGCCAATATCTGCAAGTGGCACGTTGTTCTTGACCGAGTAGTCGTATCTTGCCTTCGCCAAAGCAGAGCCTTGTTCGTGATGACCGTTAGCATAATAGTCCGCCAACACTTGAGTTACCTTATTGCGGGCTTTGATAGACTCCTTGGCCGTATATTCAGGGAACGGCGCTACGAGCATCTTCATGATGCCCTTCTCAAATTCCCAGAAAGCATCCCTGATGTCCTCTCTCTCGTATGGGTTCTCAGGACCATAGACCGATTTCGTCGTCGCCATGGTCACAACGTCAGCAACCCACGCCGACAATTGGATAATGCGAGCGTCTTTCCCATCCTCGGGCTTGGTCTGATCAAGTGAACGGCAGACTTCCTTGGCCATGATGACGTTCATCTTGTCGAGGTTCTCTCCCGGCTTCAGCGACTCTCGCATACCAATAACCATATCCTCGCACAAGCCCCAGTTGCCGTGCTCGCCCAGCAGATTCTGGCTCAGGATCTCGTTAGCCGCCTTGCTGGTGCCGCAGGTGACGCTGCTGAACTCGGAAACTATGGGTGCGAAGGAGAAAAACTTGTTCTGTCTATCCACGCGCGCGACAAGCTCCGGTTTGGTGATGACATAGATCTTGCGCCCGGGCATGAGCATTGTGAATATGGGAAGCCGGAGCTTCTTGTTCATCTTCTCGTAGTAGCCGAAGCTGTTGCGCATAAAGCCGAACATGTGCCCAAAGATGGGAATGCCTGGAGGCGCCAGAGGGGGCTCACGAGTATCATACGACGGTAACAACAATTTACCCATGGCGAGCAGGAGCAGTGTGGCTCCCACGACTCCGACAGTGAAGCAGTTGAGATTCTCTACCGTGGCCGTGATGTCTTGTAGCTTCTCCATTGTAGCTGGTGATATTACTCTCGAAGTAGATGATCAAGCTAGAATTGGAAACAAAAGGTTGCCCGTATGCTCTAAAAGCGGAGGAAATATAGCGATAGATGAAGACAGGCCTTTGGATTGAGGGAGACTAAATAGCCAGCGTACAGAATTGTGGTGCTTTTATACCTCACGGCGCCATGTATAGGTCCTGGACCGTACAACTTAAGGCTATCTGCAATGATGCTTTACTGGGATTTTCCGAGTAATCGTTTTGCGTTCGCGCGACCCTGAGATAGCTGTTTGGGGTGCAGAGTGTGGAGTCATGCATTCCCTATCCCTGAACCATTGTACGGCAAATGTGATAACGAGTATTACGCGATGAAACTAGCAGATATCTAGATTGTAAAATATAATCACTGAGTTCAAATGGGCCGGTGGCTCAACAAAGCTGGCAAGGTTATCAATAACAAAAGGTTTCTTTTCATTTCATCTGCAAGGAAGGCGTCACGTGCCCTCACGCGAGCCCCCTTTCGGCAGGGCCCGTAGGGCTCGGTAAACTAGGGCACAGGGCGCCTGGAAAAGGGGGCTGGAGGCCTTGGAAGAAGGACTCCAGTGAATAGTCGCTGTATATACGTAGACCTATTGTGCTTACTGAATACGAGACCTTCCTGCCTCCTGACCTGGTTCCCTGGACTCCCGTGAGACCTTGGGCTTACGCTTTACATCATCTAGCACCAAATACACGCCAGTATGATAGCAGGTGCATGAGCAGTGCTTACCGAACAAGAAACAAGAGCGAGTGCAAGGGGTGTGGAGGGTGTATAGGGTGCAATGGAAAAACCCCATCAAGCTACTGCACGCAAAAACGCCTTTTGTATATTCCCTGGCCGCGGGAATAAGCTGCCTATTTCAAAGAACAGTTTGGTACAATATCGTTGTTGCCCTTACGAAACACAGTATCATCACTCCAAGTCTGCGCTTTCAGCTACATTTTCAAAAACTGTTTTATGGTTGATTCCGAGCAATCTATACTCCATTGTTTTATGCGCTTGCTCTCAATCTAGTATTCTGCAGACTTTTTCTATACACCTTGACGTGATAGTTGTTGCATTCAGGTCTACTTTTGCTGCGACTGGTATACCTCAACGCTGAGAGATCTAAGCTCCGCCATGACTGATCATACCAACGGCAATATCAATGGCGACATCAATGGCCAAAATGGGCTGAACGGCCATGCTTCTGGCAGCGACTCAAATGGAGTTTCAAGTCCGGCTCATTTTGATTTAGATGCCATCGTTGTTGGCGCTGGATTTGCAGGCATCTACCTTCTTCATCAATTGCGAAAGGAGGGTTTGAGAGTGAAGATTGTCGAGGCTGGCCACGGTCTCGGTGGTGTTTGGTATTGGAACTCTTACCCGGGAGCACGAACGGACACGCCAGTCCCCGCGTACTCTCTCAATATCCCCGAAGTGTTCGAGACTTGGACGTGGACCGAGGAGCATCCTGGACATGAAGAGCTCAAGGCATACTTCCGCCACATTGATAGCGTTCTCGACATATCAAGGGATGTCTTCTACGGAGAGAGACTTACTACGGCCACCTTTGACGAAGCCATCGGTAAGTGGCATTTGGAATCAGACCAAGGAACTACTTTCACTGCCCAATTCTTTTGCCCATGCCTCGGGTTTGCTTCAAAGCCCTATTTCCCTAGCTGGCCGGGTTTACAAAACAACTACCAAGGCCGTATTCTTTACCCGCATCTTTGGCCATCCGAGGATATTGATATGCGGGAGAAGAAAGTGGTCGTTGTCGGCACTGGAGCAACCGGTATCCAGATCGCCCAAGAGGTCGCCCGCGATGCGAAACAGCTGATATGTTTTGTACGCACTCCCAATCTGTCTTGGCCCTTGGTTCGAAGGATGATCGAACCAGAACAGGCCTTGAAAGAGCGTCCCCTGCTGAAATACTGGCTCGGCGAGAAACGCTTTACAAACGTGGGAGGCTGGCTTTATGATTTAACAACTCGCGGAGTAATGGACGATACGCCCGAGGAGCGAGAGGCTCGACTTGAGAAAGACTATCGAGAGGGCGGCTTGAAATGGTGCTTCTGCTCCTATAACAACATATTGGGAACACAAGTAGGAAACGACGAAGTGTATAAGTTCTGGCGCCGCAAGACGCACGAGCGAATGGCAGACAAGGAAAAGGCCGAGCTCCTGGCGCCGTTGAAGCCGCCGCATCCGTTTGCTGGCAAACGGACGGCACTCGAGCAGGACTACTACGAACAGATGGATATGCCGCACGTCACTCTGGTAGATGTGAAGAACAATCCTGTGGTACAGGCGATATCCAACGGTCTCGTCACCGCCGACGGCACCGTCCACGAAGCCGACATCATCATCTTGGCGACAGGCTACGACGCCGTGACTGGCGGGTTGAGACAGATATCCATCACCGGGCTGAACGGACTCACGCTCGAGGAGAAGTGGAGTGACGCGACCCATTCTTATCTTGGCCTCATGCTTTCCGGTTTCCCCAACATGTTCTATACCTACGGCCCGTTGTCTCCCACAGCGTATGCTACCGGGCCTGCTATTTGTGAGTTGCAAGCGCACTGGATTATCGATACGATGAGGAAGATGCGAGAACAAGGCGTGACGCGAATTGATGCCACGGTAGATGGGGAGCGTGAGTGGAGGGAAAAGGTCGATACAATACACGCGTATACTCTGAGGGAGCATGTTGAGGGAAGTTGGTACCTTGGGTAAGTTTCACTTTCAATTGCCCATGAGCCGGAAGTTGTGTTAACAACAATCAAGGTTGAACGTGCCTGGTAAGCGACGGGAAGTTCTAATCTATTCGGGCGGCCTCCCGATGTACAAAAAGGAGATAATGGATGCCATTGTGCCGGACTGGAAAGGGTTTACTGTGACTTAATGCACCGTCAGTCGTGCGAGAACTAGACAGCTAGAATAATCCCTGCATATATCAGCATTCACCTTAGAGATGTTCGATTGTAGCCCAACAGAATCTGGTGCCTCCTTTACTATGTAGACATTCTAGATTCAATCTGCTCCTACAGCGTCTATCTATACGTGCTTGAAAACCCTGTCCATTCTCAAGAACGACCGTCCTCACTGGGGGATCGAGGAGATGGATGCGTCCCTTGCATTTCCCACGATTCGGGTTTGTCGCTTCTAGCATTGTATGACGAGAATTAAGAGATCCAAATATGCTTCATGTTACTGGCTACTTGCTGGCTAGGGATAAGCTATATATATGCTAAGCTATATATATGCTAAGCTATATATATGCTCGCCTTTCTTCTCTAAAAAAAAATCTAACGAAGATCGAACAGACAAGAAATCTAACAAGGAAAAATCCGCGTATAACCCCGTTCTAGTAACACGGTTCTTCGTCGACGATCTTGAGCTCCTGCATAATGTGCCAAGCTTCCCTTGTACCAATACGCACTACTGCGTATGCCTCATCCTCATTCGGATCTAGGGGCAGGAATATCTCAAGTGCCGTTGAAATCAGGGTAGAATTGTTTGTCTCTTCCTGGTATTTTCGTGAACATTCTATGCCGTAGCGGAGCAGGTCGGGAAGCTTGGGTAGACAATCATATCGAGCCCCGGTGAAACTGATGTATCGACCTTGTTGTGATAATGCTGCAGTTTAACAGTTATTAGTGTGACTATTAAATGCATCTAACATACCTCCAATGGCAGTTGGAATTCCTTTGCCGTCAGTTACAAGGTCCTGCTGCAAAATAGCTAGACTGCAGTTAGTTGCGTCTATTCTAGCAACCCCCAGAACTGTACTGATAATAAATTGGATCCCCGCACTGACCACTCAAGAAATCTTGCAGCATCTCACAAGATGGATGCTTTTGCCTCAAATGTTCCATGTCATCCCATAGCACTGCCCGCAGTGACGGTGACTGAGCTGTCTGTCGAGGCGCGTGCCTGAGCAGAGAATCGAAGGTGTTGCTGCTGATCTTCCTCCCTCCGGACCAGTGCCTCATGGGAAAGGCCGTAGCCCACCAGAGTAGCGTTGGCGGCTCCAATGCGCGCAGACGTGCAGCTCTATCGCTCGTGCTGACGATCTTGGTCTTCATCGAAAGCGAAGCCGGGCTCCTGTTGTCCTGGACGAATATGAGCTCCAAGTTGTGTGAGAAGGAGGTTGGCGCATAGCCCTTGTGCAAGGTATTCTTGACTCTGGCCTCGCCCTCCTTGAGTAGTGATGAGATCATGGTATGGAGGAATGTGAGTAAAGTTGATGGTGTGTACTTCGTGTGTTGAGAGTCTGGAGAAGAAGAGCACCAGGGAGGAGGTGTCGACGGTGTTGTAGGTGTTACAGGTGTCGTAGGTGTTGCAGGTGTTGTAGGTGTTGCACGTGTTGAGGTACCTTTTATGTATTCAGCATCATCTGAATCATCGCGATCCCAACACTGACTAGGGATCAGCCACCATGTCAGCAGGAGGTTTTTCGCACTGGCCGAGTATTACGAGGAAGCGAGGGGCACCTTAGCGTATGAGTAAGCAATCCTACGTCGTCCTGGACTGACATGCGGTGAACAAGATAACTGGCCAGCTTCTGGCGGGCGAGCTGCATTCTCGTCCAGAAGATTGCAATTCGTGCTTGGTGATTGGAAGTCTAGCTGCAAGAACACATGCCGCCGTTTATTGCGAGCTTACTATATTACCCTTCCCTATCAGCGGCCCACGGCTAGCGGGCCGATATTAGCGTGAGCCTAGCGTTTTAGGTCCTGCAGAGTCAGCTTCGGGGTGTGAAAGCGGTCTCTATTTTCGAGAATACGACGCGCGGCAGGGGGAGAGAAGGCCCGAGTTGGCGATTCGGAGGGTGGGAGGAGTACGGAGCGACCCACAGGTGATTCGTCGGTAACTGTCAAGGGTCTTGGCCTGAACGGGGCAGTACGTCACGTCGAGGCAATGGGTAGGCTTCAACCCGTATGTCAATTACTATGGCAACTTAACGCTGACCTCCCTTTAGGGCCAGCGTTCCTACTTAAAAGCAGGGCGCAGAGTAAAAGACCTTCCGTCTTACCCGCGCCTCCTCTCTGCAGACCTCACGTGACTGACCCGTGACAGTAACTCTATTATTGTAAGTGTCTATTTTTTATATAAATATAACGTGCATGTATAGCGAAAGCGCCAAACAAGCGAAAGCGCCAAAATGATGCGGTGACCAAACCCCCTAACTAAATGTTAAATTCCTCTACAACAAAACATGCCCTATAAAAACAATGAAAGCCAGTTTGTCCGAGTCAAATACCTTCCGTCACTGAGGGAGAGGAACCGCCGTTGGGTCAATCTCCTCAAGTACCCAAAACGGGTCTGAATCGGCTAACCTGCCTTTAGTCTTATCATGTGACCGTAACCTGTCCGACTCAGATCCTTTCCATCACTGAGGGACAGGCATCCTTACACTACTCTAGCCACTTAATGTTAGCTGTTTTAGCCTAGTAAAGAGATCTTATAGTTAGCAAATTAAAGATATAATGCAAGCTTATATTTCTTACATTACTAAGGATGACTTCTTTCCTGTAAAGCGTAAGCCTAAGGTCTCACGGGAGTCCAGGGAACCAGGTCAGGAGGCAGGAAGGTATCGTATTCTGTAAGCACAATAGGTCTACGTAGATACATCGACTATTGACTGGAGGCCTTCTTCTGAGGCCTCCAACCCCTTTTATCTATGCACCTTGTGCCCTATTTTACCGAGCCCTATGGGCCGCTTATGAAAGGGACCTCACGTGGTGGCACGTGATGGCCTTCCTTACAATTACCTCCCCTCTTAGAGGGATTGCCCTCAATTCCAAGGTTTCGCAGCTAGGGCTTACTTGCCCTCCTGGCTTGTTTAGACTTTTTGTTTTGACCCGGGTGGTGGACTTGTTTGGGTGTGTGCTTGGTGTGCTGGTCCCGTGACCCCCCTTGGTTGTGGGTTGCCGCGGCCACCCCCTTTGTTATGGGTCTCGCGCCAAACTCCTACTTCCTTCCAAACTTCCTATCGAACTTCCTGCCACCTTCATCCTCAACATCACCTTACTTCGCCTTTTCGCCCTCGATCTTAGTCCCAACCTTTGGGGCCTACACAGTTGCTTGTTTCTTTAAGGTAATCACTTCCTTTCCACCTGGATGGCAGGAGCTTATCGTTACGGATAGATCTGACATCATCCAACCCTCATCATGGCTCCCCAAGCCGAAGGGGAAGGCTCCAGTTACTACACCTCGCAAGCGACCAGTGGCCCAGATGTCCAGCTCTCCCGAGTCGCAGGCGCCCGCCACGCCTGTTCCATCTGTTGTCACCTCCTCCACATCACGTTCTCGCACTATCCGTCCGTATCGTTCGCCTGAAGTTGAGGACGAAGCTGAGGATCTCGAAGGCTCCGTCGTTCCTGAGTCTGAGGCTCCAAAGGATGAGCGCACCGTGCTTGGGTGGAAGGTCGCTGCCCGCTGTGAGGTTCCTGATTCTGCAGGACGCCTTCGCGCTGGCTCCTGCCCGTGCTGCATGAAGTGTGCGCACACGTATTACAACTTCCCAGGCCAGATGTGCTGGGTCCCTTCCGGCATGGCCAAGTGTGCAGACTGCCTTCGGGGCAACCACGCGTGCGTTCCAGTAAGGGACTCCCTCCTCATTGTTTGTTTGTACTAATGGTTGGGTAGGCTGCTGCCCAGCTTGGCGCCGAGTTGGAGGCCCTCCAGCTTGCGGCCGACGCTCTCCTGAACTGTTGGGCCGACGACGAAGATGCTGGCCTTGCTGCTGATTCTGAGGCTACTGTCCAGGCCATCAGCGCCCTTCACGCTGCCCAGCGCGTATACAGCAATGCCACCAAGGCCAATACCATTACGTTGTCCCATCCTTGCTTCCTTGTGCTTGCTTCCTGTGATATGCCTCGATTAACGATAGCCCTACATCATGTTTTGGCACCCATTGGTCGTCTGCGGCTGTATAACCAGCCCATCTAATAAGGTACTCCTCTCTCTGGCCCTTGCCTCGTTTGATTATCCTGTGGTCTAGGACTGCTTCTACTTGGTATTCTTCCTCACCGTCCACAATTTCTTGGCTAGGTGGAGGGTTGGGTTCCTCTGTGTTTTTCCAATACCTTTCTAGTAAGGACACGTGGAACACGTTGTGGATCGCCTTATACCTTGGCGGTAGCTTCAACTGGTAAGCCTGCTTACCGATGCGCTGGGTGATCTCATACGGGCCAAGCCAGCGGTGCCCAAGCTTCCTACTTGGCTGGGTGGTTCTGATATTCTTGGCCGAAAGCCATACTTTCTCTCCTACCACGTACTGCATTGGCTTGTGCAGCTTGTTGTAGCCTCGTATTTGGGCTTCCTTCGTCTGTTTCCACGCCTCTTCGAGCTCCTGTCGCAATTCTAGGATCAGGTTGATGCGATCTTTCGCGACTGGCACTTCCCTTCTGGTGGGGTCGTCCTCGATCCCTTGTCTTAGGTCTATATTGATGCCGTATCGGGCCTGGTTTGGCGACATCTGGATGGAATCGTGGAAGGCGTTATTGTAGGTCAATTCCGCGAAGTGGAGGAGTTCCACCCAGTTGTCTTGGTGTTGATTACAGTGAATCCGCAAGTAGGCTTCGATATTCTGATTCTGCCTCTCGGTCTGGCCGTCGGATTGAGGGTGGAAAGCGGTCGATAGGTTACGCCTTACTTTGAGGTGAAAACAGAACGCTGACCAGAAGTGACAGGTGAACACACTCCCTCGATCCGTGATTATTTCGGCTGGGATTCCAAAGTCCTTTACCCAGAACGCAAGGAAGAGGCGCGACAGCTCTGGGGCCGTGATGGTTTTCCTACAGGGTATATATTTGGACACCTTAGTATAACGATCAACAATCACAAGGATGGAGTCTGAAGCCTTGCCTTGATCCGCCCCTACGCTTGGGGGCAGATCCGTGATAAAGTCCATACTTATGGATTCAAATGGTTTCGAGGGCATTCTTAAGGCCTGCATTTCACCATATGGCCTATGCTGCACGGGCTTGATGCGCTGGCATCTATCGCAGCCCCGTACGTACTCCCTGGTTTCCTCGCTGAGGCCAGGCCAGTAGTATTTGCGTTGGATCAACTCTTGGGTTTTCTTATATCCAAAATGCCCGGCTAGTGGGTCGTCATGGCAAATCTTGAAAATTTCCATCCGCACTGCCTGGTTGGGAGGTACATATACCGCTCCCTTGAAGCGTAGGATGCCTGCATCGTCTACTCTCCAATCTGAAGAGCCCTTTGCTCGCGCCAACCCAATATCCTTGGCCCTTTTAACAGCTAACTCGTCAGTCGCCTGGAGGGTTTTGATCAAGTCTATTAGGGGTTCAGACGCAGCACTATAGGCGCTCTCTCCCTTGGCTACAGCAGCTACTGCAACCCGAGGGACAACGAGACCTGGACTCTTGGTGTCCTTACTATGGTCATCGCCCAGTCTTACGCTGCTAGCGTTTGCCTTCCTACGCTGTAGGTTAGGTTCTCCTATCTGAAAGCCTTCTTGGCTTGTTATCGTCCGACTTATCTGCGGGATACCTCCTGCCTGCATGGCTTCTCGGAGCTTGTTCTTAAGGGTCGGTAGCATCACATTCTGGCTACCCTTTTCACCCTCATAGTCTGGTCTCCTAGATGGACCGTCTGCTGGGTTTGTTTTTCCCGCTCGATAGGAGATGTGGAAATCATAGGCTGATAACGCCTGCACCCACCGCGATTGCCTCCTTGTGAGGGCGGTGGTTTCCATAAAATACTTCAGATTGTTGTGATCTGTTAGGACCTCAATTGGGTACTGGCTTCCTTCGAGGTAGTGTCTCCACTGCTCGAAGGACTTCACGATCACCAGGAGTTCCTGGTCGTGGACTTCATAGTTCAGCTCTGCTGGATCTAGCTTTTTGCTGAAAAAGGCAACTGGGTGCCATTCGCCCTTCTCTTCTGGCTTAGTTCCTTCCACTAATTGAGACAGGTTCGCAGTGAGCGCAAAGCCTGACGAGTCCGTCTCGAGCCTGATTCTACGGCATGGGTCGAAATGGACCAGTGTGGGGGCTGTAGTGAAGGCCTTCTTCAACTGGCCGAAGGCGCTTTGCTGTTCCTCCCCCCACACGAACGGGCCTGTCTGCTTGCCTGCCTTTGCCCCTTTCATAAGGCCTGTCATTGGGGCCACCACGGAGGAGTATTGCTTTACAAAGCGCCGGTAAAAGTTGGCAAAGCCGAGGAACACCTGGACCTCTCGATGGGTCCTAGGTATTGGCCAATCGGCGATTGCAGCAACCCGGTCGCTTTCCATAGCCACCCCTTCCGTTGTGACAATATACCCAAGGAAGCTTACCTTCTTGGCATTGAACTCGCACTTTGAGAGCTTCACGTATAGGTTCGCCTCGCGTAGGCGTCCTAGGACCTCTCGTACGTGGTCAGCGTGTTCCTCCTCCTTCTGGGAGTAGATGAGGATATCATCAAGGTATACGACACATATGGTGTCAACCAACCCTTGTAGGGTCTCATTCATGTACGCTTGGAACGTTGCAGGTGCGTTAGCCAATCCAAAAGGCATCACCCTGTACTCGAAGTGTCCGTATCGAGTACGGAACGCTGTCTTCCACTCGTCGCCTGGGCGAATACGGATGCGGTGGTAGGCGTTCCTAATATCAAGCTTTGTGAAGCACCTCGACCCTTGGAGCCGATCCAAGGTCTCCGTGATCAGTGGCAGCGGGTGTCGATTCTTCACGGTAATCTTATTCAAGCCTCTGTAGTCTACGCAGAGGCGTAGGCTTCCGTCCTTCTTCTGAACGAATAGGATGGGTGCACCTGCAGGGCTTACACTCCTTCGGATCCAACCCTTCTTCTCGCTCTCGTCGAGGTATTTACAGAGCGTGGCCAGCTCCGTTTCCGATAGGTTATATACTGGCCCATACGGTGGTTCCTGGGGCCCAGTATCGATGGCATGGGTTTTCCTTCCCAGCTCTGGCAGTTCTTCTGCCTTTTCCTCTGAGAAGACGTCGATATAGTCCTCGTATTCCTTCGGGCATTGGGTAGGCGCGCTATCATCTGTGTTTAAGGCCAAGACGAAGGCAGTATCACCTTCCTCCCATTCTTCAATATCCGCCACCTCGGCTCTCGCAATATCGAAGGGCTGGCGCCAGGTCTGTTTGCGCCAGTCGATCTGGGGGTTGACCTGCGTCATCCAATCCATCCCAAGGATGACGTCTACTCCTGGGGTGTCCATGGAAAGGAGGGTCTGGGCGACCACGCATTCCCTTTGAAAGTGGTCCCTAGCTCGGACCTGGGTGGTGGCCGCTCCATATATCACAACCTCTTTTCCATCGACTGCCCTTGCCCGTGGCGGTGCCCTATCCCGGCACTCCAAACCCTTCTCTTTGGCAAACAGAGGGTGGATGGTGGACGCGTCAGATCCTGAGTCGAGGAGGGCTCTTGCCTTGTGCCATCCGGGCCCTACCTGCACCTCTACCTCGATCTCCATTCGACGCTGCGCCGTAGGCTTCTGGGATTCTGCTGGGAGTCACTCCCTCTTGGGGGTGTAGGCGTCCAATTTCCTCACCCCTGGGCCTGTGTGTTGGCGTGGGCCTCGACATTCCTTTGCGAGGTGGCCCGCCTTGCCACAGTTATAACAATTGATTCCGCTAGGGATTGGCCTAGCGTCCCTACTGTGGGTAGGGGCCTGTCCTCTCGCCGGCCGCTGGTCTTGTGGGCGGTGTCTATTCCAGAAGGGTGTTCTTTCTCCTTGGGCCGAGGGCTGGGGAGCCCTGTGGCTGCCAGAGTTGCCCTTTAGGAATGGAAAGCTGCCCTGGGAGGTATTCCTTCCTTCCCTTGAGTTGGACTTGTCAACAGTAGGAGTTCTCTCTGTTACCCACTGGTTTGTCATTTCTAACATCGCCAGGATATTAACGATAGCGTCCCTGTGGGTAGAGGAACGCTCTGCGTACCCTCCTTCAAGGAGCCGCTGCCTCATCTCTGGGTGAATCTTCGTCAGAAGGTGGACAGTCTTCTGCGATTCAGTATACGGTTCCATCTCGCGTTTGAGGTCCTCAAGGTAGGCCACGAACTTGCGGATGCTCTGCCCTTTCCGTTGTAGGGCGACGTTATACTTCAAGGCCGCGATGCGTTGTCGGTTGGCTGGGTCGACATGGAGGTCCCGAAGAAACTCTTCGAACCCAGCGATATCCAAGGGATCTATGTATCCTTCTCCTTGGGTTGCGCACCGGTTATCCCATTCCTTCATAGGGTGTCCTTCCAAGTATTGGGCAGCGAAGGCCACCTTAGATTGCTCAGTTGGAAAAACCCTTGGTTGGTATCGGAAGATAGCGCGGATCGAGGCCATGAACTCGTTGAGCTCTCGGATGGATTCGCCCCTAATATACCTTAGGTTCCTTGACCCTTCCTATTGGCCTCTGGGCTGGTGTGACCTCCATTGATACGGTAGAGGCAGTCTCTGCCTCCTCCTCTTGTTGGGGTCCTTCCCACTCGTCCTCAATATCTTGGTGTCGCCTTTTCCGACGGTTCTCTTCCTGAATCCGGGCTTGCTTCTTCGCGAAGTCCCGTACCGCCTCAGGGTAGGCGTTGTAGTCGTCGCCGTGCGTTCTTCGGAAAAGCTCTAGGGCTTCCTCCATCGTGTTGATGTAGGCCCTCTCTTCGTCCATCCGCTTCCGAAGGTCTGCCAGCTTCGAGGCCATGCTCTCGTCCTGGCCTGCCGTCCAATGGCTAGCTTCTACGGATGTAGTTCTTGGAGCTGGCTCAGTGGCGTCAGTTGCTGGCGTTGCTCCTCCAGAAGTCGCACGCGTAATCCTTCTTTCCATACTCGCCATCCTGACCCAGTAGGCTGGATATGGGTGCAGTCAATAGAATTGTAAAGCGTAAGCCTAAGGTCTCACGGGAGTCCAGGGAACCAGGTCAGGAGGCAGGAAGGTATCGTATTCTGTAAGCACAATAGGTCTACGTAGATACATCGACTATTGACTGGAGGCCTTCTTCTGAGGCCTCCAACCCCTTTTATCTATGCACCTTGTGCCCTATTTTACCGAGCCCTATGGGCCGCTTATGAAAGGGACCTCACGTGGTGGCACGTGATGGCCTTCCTTACATTTCCTGCCTTCTACACTACATTTAACACTGCAATAACGAAAAGCAATATTCAAGGCTAGTTTAGAGGAGTAGGGATTCTGTCATACTGACATTCGTTGCACTCAGTTTGCTATCAAACTCAAGAGCAAACTTAGAAATCTCCTCCTCAAACCTACAAGTCACCATACATATTTTGGCTTATCACACCAACAAGAAGAGCAATACTACTCAACGATTGCTGCAAACTCTTCTACTACATCTGTTTATGCTACATACATCACGGCATATCATTTGGACACTCATTGAACAAGTTATTAAGAAAATCTCCTCCTTAAGGGGTGGGCCAATACTACCACATGGCATATCTCTACCAACTAGAGGCCTAGGAACATAAACGATAGCTCTAAAAGCTTCTACAACCCTCTATGATTTATTACACGTCATCGCTCCTTAGTTACCCACAAGATTGGTTAAGTTATGACATAATTTGTCTATAGGTACTCTGACCTTGGACCTCCTTTTCACTTCCTATAGGCTAGGGACCCAAGAGATGGTTCTATGGAATTTTCTTATGTTCGCTACATGATTAGCAAGCTAGTTGTGGGTCGCACTTGATTTCTAATACATTTACCAAGCCTGGTTAGTCATGGAAAGTCATGGAAAATGAGAGAACTACACTCCTTTGGCATAAATAGGATTGCCCTTTCCTTAAGAAAGGGCAAGCAGACAATACAGTAAATCGACTATCACATACTTCCACGTCTTTTACAAGCTTCCAAGCATTCATCTTGTTACTCCTTGTTTCTGAAAAGTCAGTGAGGTGTTAACCTCTGACTTACCCCTGAGTTCCCAGACTCAACATTTGTTGCAACTTGTCTGAACCACTTCACTACATCACACACCTGATTGCTGCGTTGTGGAATAGTCTAAGCTACAACCCTTTGGCTCTGTTTCCTAAGACAGTGTGTTGTCTTAGTAAAATCATCCCTTCCTTGGGTGGCTAGATTCTCACATCTGGTGCACCCACCATTACAAATGTGCACACTTATTAGATTGAAATAGACACCTCTAAGGAAGAGGACTCCAAGTAGTTTTAATTAATTTTAATTGTTGTAAGTTAGTGGATTTATCGCAATTCTTGTAAGGTAGTCGTGGTATTTTAGCGCTTTCGCTTGTTTAGCGCTTTCACTATACATGCACGTTACTAGGATATCAAATCCTATTACTTTTGGTTGCAAAACTATAATATTTTCTAGCATATCGTAAAAAGTAAAGATATAATCATTTTTGATTGATAGTGATGCTGTCAATAATGTGATCAACTACCCTTAGCAGCACCATGGCTACAGTAATGAAACAGTTCTAATTCTCCACAAGGCGCCTAATTTCTACTATTATCATCAGTGATTGGAGCGAAGCAAAGGAAGCAAGGGTATAACTTAGAGATTAAAACTGAGAGTAATACGAGGTAGTGGGGCTGGCATCCAATTGAGGAAGGAGCCGCACATAAGTAAAGTGGAAAGTTTTGAAATCGGTCAAGAATTTGATGAGGGAAGAAAGAGGGTTCTTATAAACGTCGTTAAAAGCAGCGGCTCGGTAAGCGAGAAGCGATACTCGAAGCGGGTGCGCTAAACTCAAAGAGTCAGCGCACCTGAACGTAGTTTACAATAACACATTAGATTATCAATGTCCCGGTCTGGAACTTGAACATGCTTTTCCAGATTGAAACTTGCTACTGCAATGGACGCTGCTGGAACGGCGCTGTTCCTCTCCATTGGTTCTCTACATGCGCCGATGGTCCACGCCACGATAAGTTGTTGCTGCGGCGGCCATCTGTCGGTGTCCTCTGCATCGACCTAAACAGAGCGGCAAAGACTATGCTGCCCAATTTGTCGTAGCAATCCGCAATCTCCCCCACCGTTCTGTCTGAGGGCCCTCGCTCGCGCGCGCTGTAGATTAACACTCCATGCGAGACGTTCTTCACGCCGACTGTCGAGGCGTCGTAGCTCACAAAGTAAGGAGCGCCCTGCTCATAGAAGTCGAATCCCCACCCAACCCACGCCGTGTTATCCGTCTCAGCCATGATCTCGGCTGGGACGGTGTAGTTCCAGGCGTGCTTTTGCCCTGGCAGCGGCGTGTCGGTTCCTGGTGTGGTGATGACCGTGTCATTGTCGCCAAGTTGGAATGAATTCACGTCGGCGATGACCGTCGCGTGCAGATCCGATACATGCCCTCCGTCCACTGTACTGCTCAGGGGATACCACTCATTCTGGTTCCATTGATTAGCTGAGAAGCGCCAGTATCCTCGGATCAATCCATCAAGCAATGAAAGAGGCCATACCTGCATGTTCGACCAACCCCAGTACTCTTCTATACTGGTCCATGCCAGCGCCCATTTGCCATAGCCAAACCCAAATGGTGGTTCAATCCACGCCTGCCCAACGGTGGTTTGATCCAGATATGTCCTATTTACGGATCGTGGTGGTAAACGGAAGGGAGCACAAGAGTCGTCGAACAAGTCCCTTGGTGATGGCACCGACACTGTCGAGGCGCCAGCTAATGTAGCAAAGGCTAAATGCGCGACAGAAAGTTTGACCATGGCGAAAAAGGTATATGAAGCCTCGAGCATGAGACAGAGCAAGATTGGGATGAAAGATGAAAGAATGCCAAATGGACTCTGCTACTTCGGCATCTTAGATGTTGCAAAGGAAACTGACCCGTTCATGTTATCTTCGGAGCGATGAACGTACCTTGTCTTTATGGCGGGGGGTATAATCTGAACTCTAGTATAAATGGTATCTGACTTTATTCTCGACTAATATCACTTTTATTTCCGTTCAGAAATAGAAAACAAACTATCTCATTCACTCCCGCTACTGACGCGAGCGGCCGAGGCTGCCTTTATAGGTATATTAATTCCTATTTTTATACAGCGATGTTCAGTCGTTTAATTGGTTTATCTACTCGCTTAATCACGTTACATTTAAAACGCACCTCCCACACCTCCGACACCTTTCGCACCTGGTATGACAAGCATGTAATGGAACGGCTTTGTGAGTAATAGAAAGGCTTTATGGGGCTCAGGCACAATCCCTCATCATCCACGCCTAGCAATACGCCCAGGGTGTAAGAGGTGCACAGGCACAGGGTACAGTTCTAGAGCGAGCCCCTTCGCTTCTTAGCCGATACCTTCCGACCACTTTGTCCTTATAGTGTCACCGATTTCACCTTGAATAACCGCTGAGCTCTTTGGTCAAGTCTACGTGGCTGGCTACTACAAAATCACCATATTGCATCGCAACATCCCTGATAATGGGCATAGACGTGCTGTTGGGGCTTACGCCTCAAGTTTTGGCTCTGTTTGTTGGCAGCGGAATTGTTTTTTTCACCATCTTCTACAGATGGGCTCTGCCGAAACCAATCCCTGGTATTCCATATAACAAGGAGGCGGCGAAGTCCATCTTTGGAGATGTCGCTGCGATGGTCGAGGCGACCAGCAAGACCAAGGAAATGTTTGCTTGGATGATGGAACAGAATGTCAAATTGGAATCGCCGATCATACAGCTCTTCACTCGTCCATTTGGCAAGCCTTTGGTTGTTATTGCAGATTTTCGAGAAGCACAGGACATTATGGTGCGACGAACTAAGGAGTTCGACAGATCCAAGTTTTTTAGTGAAGTTTCTGGTGCAATTTCTCCCAAGAGTCACTTTAGCATGCCGACAAATAGCGAGTTTAGACAACACCGTAAATGGATTCAAGGAGTCATGGGCATGGGCTTTTTACACCAGACTGCCGCACCGCATATCTATGCAGCTGGTCTCGACCTCCTACAACTTTGGGAACAGAAATCACGACTTACTAAAGGGCACCCATTCGCCGCCGACGATTTGTATGGCACAGCCATGGATGCAGTCTGGGCAATTGTCTTTGGAGCCGACATAGATAATAGCACAACAAAAGCCCAGCTGAAGCTATACTCAACCATCAAATCAATTCACCTGGAGAATGACCTGGACTCCCCAGTAGAGCTGCCATCAGCACCGTATCCAGCAGCTGTGCAATCTATCCTCACCCTCACCGATAGTGTTGAGACCAGCATCAAGTCCCCAGTGCCGGTTCTTGCTCATTGGGTCTTGAGGCAAACGTCTAAGATGAAGAAGGCGTATAAAGACAAAGATCAGGTCATAGGAGATGAGATCAATAAGGCTGTCAAAAGGGCTACAAGCAAGGATGCTAAGGAGAAAACCATTACCTGCGCGATTGACGACTTCGTCCAGAGAGAAATGCTCCTGGCACAAAAGGAAAACCGGCAGCCAGAAGCTCAAGGACGGGGAATGTATGACGAGGTAAATGCCCAAGATCCCTCTTGGCTGCAATTCGAAGGGCCACAAGCTAACCAACATCCTCTAGATCCTCGGATTCATCATGGGAGCCCACGATACCACTGCAACAGCGATTCAATGGGGACTCAAATATCTTGCCGATAACCCCGACGTGCAAGCCAAACTTCGCGCTGAGCTTCGTGCATATCACGTTGAAGCCACAGCAGAGAAGCGCTTACCAACGTTCCAAGAGATCAACGAATCGCAAATGCACTACAGGGATGCCGTAATCGAAGAAATTTTTCGTTGTTCCTTGTCAGAAGCTGCAAGCATCCGTACTGCTGTAGTTGACGCCGAGGTCCTCGGACACCGTATTCCTAAGGGCACAGAGGTTTTCTTACTGGGCAATGGGCCAAGTATTTTCGCTCCTGAGTTCAACATTGACGAATCGCTGCGAACAAAATCAGGTATCGAGGCCAAAGACAAAGTTGGTACCTGGAAGCACGAGGGTATGGCCGACTTTGATCCAGAGAGATGGATGGCTGAAGACAAAGCTACAGGACAAAAGCTATTCAACTCGGCTGCGGGACCGCATCTTATCTTTGGTCTTGGAGAACGTGGATGCTACGGGCGCAGAATGGCCTACGTAGAGATCAAGCTGCTGATTACTCAGATTGTGTGGAATTTCCAGCTGTATAAATGCCCTGAAGCGCTTAGCAGCTATGCGGCGATTGATAAGATGACCCATGTACCGCAGCAATGCTATATTAAGCCTGTGAAGCTAGTATGGTAGTAGATTTCATTTTGTTTAAAAATATAATCTTTCTGGTCAACTTTTTATCTTACTTATAAAATATAGTAACGTAGGTGTATAACGTACATGTATAACGAACCAGCCAAACAAGCGAACCGGCCAAAATTATCTACCCCCGCAACAAAAATTACGATAAATCCACCATGACACTAGAAATCAATTGAAACTACTCGGAGTCCTCTTCCTCAGACATGTCTATTACAATCTGACAAGTGCGCGCATTGTGTCCAGTCTCTCCACACTTCCCACAGCGGCGTGCACGCATTTCTTCCCTTGGCTTGCGACCACTGCTCGCCCTTATTTCCTGCTCTACTTGCTGCACAACATCCCTCTCATCATGTAGACCCTGCGCATCCTGTTGAGTAAGTGATCCTCCTTGCTGTAGAGGTGTTTTTTTAGCCCTCCGGCGCTTGCTTAGCACTTCATTTGCCTGTCGGAGGTTCTGGTTCCCTGCCTTTAACAATGCTAATTGATGCATTATTTGCGATGCACCCTTTGTAAACTGGTCAACAGCTGCATAGATTGAGGTTGGAGAGCTATTCTGATGATACGCAATTCGGTTTTTAATGAAGGTAGACTGTGATGAGGCTTCAATTGGGTTATTTGGTGTTTGGGAAACCCAAGGTTAAGCAGTACCCGGGCGGGAGCTTTGAGGTGTTGGTGTCTTTAACTTAAGATCAAGTGCAGCTATCACTCTCTCAGGGTCGAATGGAAGAAGCCCTGCTCCTCGGAACCCGCCCTGAATGTTGCTTTTAGTCATTGCAGTGTTAAATGCAGCGTCAAAGGCAGGAAAGAAGTCATCCTTAGTAATGTGAATAATATGAGCCCGCATCATATCTTCAATTTGCCCACCATAGGCCTTCTTTAATGGGCCAAAACAGCCAATATCAAGTGGCTGGAGTATATGGGAAGAGTGAGCAGGCATACAAGCGTAATAATGTTGTGTTCCTTGCAGTATTCCTCAAACTCATCTGAGTGGTGGCTCTCATGACCATCAAGGACTAAGAGGCGATAACCACCAACACTACGGGTCTTTGTATGCTTCTCAAAATGCTGAATCCAATCCATGCCTCTCTCGTTTGTAGTCCAGCCATTTTCTGTAACAGCAATTACCCAATCGCTTGGAAATCCACTGTTCTCATACCAAGATGGGTGGTTTTTGCCTGCAACAATGACAAATGGCGGCACTGCCCAACCTTGAGAACTAACACCTTGGATTACTGTAACCCATTCCCGATTGCCAGGCTGTACCTTCTTTGCTTTTGTATGCCCGTCTGAGCTTGTGACAACCATAGCAGTTGAGATAACGCCCATCATAAACCCAGTCTCATCAAAGTTGTAGATATCTGCTTCATTGATGCCATATTTTGCAATTGTGTTGCGTAGAAGCTCAAACCAACAACGGATGACTTCTGGGTCCTCGCACTTAGCCCTCTGGTAGTCGTATTTGCGCTGGAAGCATGTCCAGAGCTCTACACGCCGCTTAACAAAGTTTGAAGCCCAACGCGACCCGACGCTGTAATGGTGGGTGCACCAGATGTGAGAATCTAGCCACCCAAGGAAGGGATAATTTTACTAAGACAACACACTATCTTAGGAAACAGAGCCAATGGGTCGTAGCTTAGACTATTTCACAACGCAGCAATCAGGTGTATGATGTAGTGGAGTGGTTTAGACAAGTTGTAACAAATGTTGAATCTGAGAACTCAGGGATAAGTCAGAGGTTAGCACCTCACTGACTTTTCAGAAACAAGGAGTAACAAGATCAATGCTTGGAAGCTTGGAAAAGACGTGGAAGTATGTGATAGTCGATTTACTGTATTGTCTGCTTGCCCTTTCTTAAGGAAAGGGCAATCCTATTTATGCTAAAGGAGTGTAGTTCTCTCATTTTCCAAGACTTTCCATGACTAACCAGGCTTGGTAACTGTAGTCGACGTAAGAGAATCCCATAGAACCATCTCTTGGGTTCCTAGCCTATAGGAAGTGAAAAGGAGGTCCAAGGTCAGAGTTGATCATCTTTGTGACAAGACTCCTGATGAGATGAAGTCTGAGGAATCTGCTTCGACATAGGCTGTTGTCATACTGACATTCGTTGCACTCAGTTTGCTATCAAACTCAAGAGCAAACTTAGAAATCTCCTCCTCAAACCTACAAGTCACCATACATATCTTGGCTTATCACACCAACAACAGAAGCAATACTACTCAACGATTGCTGCAAACTCTTCTACTACATCTGTTTATGCTACATACATCACGGCATATCATTTGGACACTCATTGAACAAGTTATTAAGAAAATCTCCTCCTTAAGGGGGTGGGCCAATACTACCACATGGCATATCTCTACCAACTAGAGGCCTAGGAACATGAACGATAGCTCTAGAAGCTTCTACAACCCTCTATGATTCATTACACGTCATCGCTCCTTAGTTACCCAAAAGATTGGTTAAGTTATGACATAATTTGTCTATAGGTACTCTGACCTTGGACCTCCTTTTCACTTCCTATAGGCTAGGAACCCAAGAGATGGTTCTATGGGATTCTCTTACATTTGCTACATGATTAGCAAGCTAGTTGTGGGTCGCACTTGATTTCTAATACATTTACCAAGCCTGGTTAGTCATGGAAAGTCTTGGAAAATGAGAGAACTACACTCCTTTAGCATAAATAGGATTGCCCTTTCCTTAAGAAAGGGCATGGACTAGCACATACTTCTACGTCTTTTCCAAGCTTCCAAGCATTGATCTTGTTATTCTCTGTTTTTGAAAAGTCAGTGAGGTGCTAACCTCTGACTTACCCCTGAGTTCTCAGACTCAACATTTGTTGCAACTTGTCTAAACCACTTGACCACATCATACACCTGATTGCTGCGTGGTGGAATAGTCTAAGCTACAACCCTTTGGCTCTGTTTCCTAAGACAGTGTGTTGTGTTAGTAAATTCATCCCTTCCTTGGGTGGCTAGATTCTCACATCTGGTGCACCCACCATTACAGCTGTCTTGTTTCTATCGAAATGCCTCAAGACAGGAGCTTCTGTGACTGTTTGTTTCAACAGCTCGAATGCAGTTTGGCATGCATGAGTCCATTCGAATATCTGATTCTTTCTGGTAAGGTTCACCAATGGCCTCATGATGCTGGAGTAATTTCGGATGAACCTTCGATAGAAATTGCAGAATCCAATGAAAGCTTGCATATCCCTGAGCGATTTTGGAGTTCGCCATTCCAATATAGTAGAAACCTTTGCAGGGTCCATGCGAATGCCATTGACTCCCACGATGAGTCCTAGGAATTTGGTTTCTTGGACGAAAAACTCACATTTTGAGATATCTGCTTGCAGTCCAGCTTTTCGAAGCTTCTGTAGGACTTTCCTTATGTGCTCTGTATGCTCCGCTCGAGTAGCACTGTAGATAAGAATGTCATCCATGTATGCGGTGACGAATTGGTTGAGGTAATCCATGAGGGTTTCATTCATGTACCTCTGGAATGTTGCTGGACCATTTGTGAGTCCGAAGGGCATGACCTTGTATTTGTAGGATCCAAATCAAGTTCTGAATGTAGTGAGGTCTTCATCTTCTTCTGTCTGCATTAGAATTCGATTGAAGGCATGTCGAATGTCCAGTTTGGTGAGATATTTTGCTCCTATGACTTGGGCCAGCGTTTCATCAATGAGTGGTATGGGATATCGATCCTTTTTCGTTATGGCATTTAGCTTCCTGTAGTCAACACAGAATCGAAGACCACCACCTGGCTTTCTCACAAACATAATGGGTGAAGAGTATGGGGCTTTGCTTGCTTCAATGAACCCTTTTGGCAAGTGCTCGAAGACATATTCTTCGACCAAATCAAGTTCTTCCTTTGACATATTCCAGAGTGGTGCATATCCCAGCTTTACATCACCTTCGAGTTCAATATGATGGTCTGAAGGTCGATGGGGAGGTAGCTTGTCTGCTGCCATTTTTGAAAAAACATCCAAAAATTCATGAAATTCCTTCGGAAGGATCAGTCGAGAGTCAATTTCTTCAGTTTTGGTCTTGTTCTTGTGCTCAATTATGTCCTTCATTGATATAGCAAAGACTTGAGCTCCTCTTTGCTTCATGAGCATTCGAAATGGTGCTGCGCCAATCATTGCTATGGTGCAAGGTTTTGGTTTTTCCACTTTCGGAGCAGGTTCCGGAGGAGGCATTTCTTTGGCTTTCTTCTTTGGCCTTTGTCTTTCGCTTTTAGATATAGGCTCTGTTTCGAGGGCTCGATCTGGTATAGAATGGTTGCAATAATCTCCAGTGAAGAGGACTTGATCATTGATCATATCGAGAACAACTCCATGTTGCTTCATCCAAGCTTTCCCGAGAATGATGGAATGTTTCCCAGCGAAGTAATGAATAATGGACATAGGCTCTCCACATGCTCTCCCACTTGTAGTCGAGGATATATAGCATGTGTGATAGCAGGGGCAGCCTCTCCATTGAATCCTTCAACTTGTTTTGGCTTCACAAGTTCGACTGGGGCTATCCCTTCGATTTCACATATTCTTTCTGCATCAGCAGCATTAATGAAGTTTCCACCTGTGGCACCAGTATCGATCAATGCATGGACAATAGCTTTGTATTTTCCTATTCTACAAGTAGCTAAGAAAGGGGTGTCCGGATCAAAACTGGATCTCGAGGAAGAAGCTGCAATTCTGGCTGCACTGCCTCTAGTGATGACTTGTCTAGAGGCTATTCGTTTTCCGAATCGATGATAGACTCAGCTGTAGATACCTCATTCACTTGGCTTTGAGCTTCTGGGGACAGTCTCGAGCTCGATGTCCATTTTGTCGGCATATGAAGCATTTCCCAAGTTTCATGAGCATTTCTTTTGCTGGATCTTGATGCGGTGGTCGATACAGCTTCTGCGTCTTGTTTTGCATGTTGGAATCCATTGTAGGTTGAGGGATTGAAGTTCGAAGTGCCTGGCCCTGATTTTGAGTTTGGCCCATGTTGTTCGAAATGACTTTGGCTTCCTTTTGTCTTCTTGTTCCTTGATCCGCTGAATGTTCTGGTCGATGAGCATGCATTTCTTGCAAACTCGTGAAGTGTAGTAGCTCCAACTTCAGCCACTAAGGCTTTCTGCATCTGTTGGTTGACTTTGAAGCGCAAGTCATCCAGCAAAGTTTCTTCAGAGTAATCAAGCTCTGTCGTGAGCCTTTGGAACTCAGACCAGAACACTGCAAAGGTGTTGTTTCTCTGATACAGCTTTCGATACTCAGTTTGAGCTGTGTGCCTTCGATCGGGATCACTGAAGACTTTTTCCAAAAGTTCGAGAATTTCTTCTGCTGTCTGCAATTTGTTTGTAGAGTTTGGTCGAAGCCTTGGATTGACATGTCGAACTGCCAGTCCTCCCAGTCGACTCTGAATGTAGCTCATTTGTAAAGTCTGTGTTGGAAAATGATCAATGTTGGCTTCGAGCTTGAGGCGAATTTTCACAACCCAGTCTTCAAATGCTGGCTCTATCCCATCTGTGAGGATTGGAGGGTCTGGAATCCGAGCTGACAGTCGACTGTGAGAGTGGTGTCCTGGTTCATTCTTCAGAGCTTGTTGGGTTTGCTTTTCAAGATATTTTTGAATTGTTTGTTGCTCTGTGATTTGTTGCTCGTTGCTCTGGATCAGTTCCTGTAACTGGAGAATGGCATCATCCTTTTCAGCCAGTATCGAATTTGAGTCCTCTGCTAGGGCCAAATAGTCCCGAAGAATGTTCTTGTGCAAAGTCCATGCCATTTTCTGGTTGGCGACAGATAGTTTCTGGAATTCGTCAAAGGTTTCAACATTCCATTCAGCCTTTTCATGTCGATTTGCAAGTATAGATTCATGTCTCTCTTGAGCTGTTTTGCCCAGAGTGTGAAGGAAGGTTTCGGATTTGAAATTAGGATCATGAAGTTCATTGGTTTGGTTTGCAGAGCTTGGAATTGATGCTCCTTCTGCCAGGGATTCCTGGTCTTGTTCTGGATCATTTCGAGCTGCCATTGCAGCTTTTTCTTCAGCTGTATAAGCCATAGCGAGTTGCTATTTCAATTTCGGTTTATATCGTCAAGTCAGACACATATTGCCAAAGGCCCTATTGTGCAGTTGTTGGCTGTAGGAGCCACTCGAGAGAAGCGCACTTCCCTCACAGTTATATCCTTGTCGAGGGAGTGTTGTAAAAGGTCTGACTTGCGAAGGTGGTGTGTGTGTGTCGAGCTGACTGTCGAAAGCCAACTTTGAGGGGTTGCCTCGAGATCGTCCTGGAATCGACTTCAGGATAAGGTTTCTGCTTCTGGGGTTTTCAAAGAGTGGATTTCGATTTCGATTTCAGAAGAGGGTTCAGCTCAAAGAGCAGGAAAAGAGGTATAAGAGAGATTGAGTTTTATGTCACGGTTCACCAAGGCATAGGGCGCCAGTTGGGTATTATGAATTAAACTCAATCTAGAGAAGAAAGGAAAGAGAAGAGGAGCACTCGAGCAGTGGCTCGATCTATATACAGCTATGTTGTTGTGGAGTGAATTCTCTTTAGCGAGACTAGTTCTGAGAATTCACTCCACAACTGAAAACTTCGCTCCAACCCCGGAAAGCTCCCCACACCCCTGAACCCCCACTCGAGCTGCAAGGCGCACTTGATATCGTAACACTGGAAGCCTCAGAAGGGGGCCTCCAGCCGATAGTCGATGTACTTACGTAGACCTATTTTCCTTATGAATACGATACCCCTTTCCTGCCTCCTGACCTGGTTCCCTGAACTCCTGTGAGACCTTGGGCTTACGTGTTACACATTGTGACATAAGGCATTTGATGCATGGCCGATATGTTCCGTCCGAGTTGGTTAATGCAGCATCTATCAGTGGAACAGTCCATGCTGATGACGCATTTGACGAAGACGACGAAGATGAAACTATTTATCAGTAGTCAAAGTATCATCCCAAAGCTCGTCCTTGTGCTCTGAGCAAAACATCCGAATTGCAGGCTGAACACCAGGCCGTAGAGCGCAGCCAATCATATGAGACCATGAGTTCCAACGAGTTGAGTTGTCCTGTTCAAGCCTTTTGCCTTAGCTATACTCTCTAAATTCAGCAATTCGTTGTGGCGACCGTTGTATGTCAAAATAAGGGGTGGTTGCTCTGACCTGAATCCTGAGGTGTGCAGTGGCTACCTACCGAGGTAGCGCACCTCACTCGGAGTATATAGATTCCGTAGATTGCTTCACTCTAACAACAACAACACAGTAGCGAATAAGTGAGTAAATGAGTCTGAATATCAGAAACCAGTGTCTCTTAACTGGGATGATAGATAAACTATGCGCCAGAAATCAAAACGCCATTTGCAACGGTACTGCGGCCACAAATAGTCAATCTCTGTAGGCAAGCCAAGGAGATAGAGCTATCATTGCAGGAGAAAGATCATTTGCGGGTGGTTTTCTCAGCGAGTTTTAGTACCAGTTTTCAACCAAATGGATAAGTTGGAGGGGGTCTAGGGTTGAAGTTGGGGTTGTCGGCTGACTTGGGGTTACTCAATAAGTGACCATTGAATGGGATAGTAGAGTCGACAACATCAACGTCCAAGACGATGACACATTTGAATACAATGCAGAGTACGAGGTTTTGCTTTGTAGACTGCATCATACAGCTATCCGAGGGTCTGATTATCATCTACGCAAGGTACACAATCTGGGCATAGAAAGACGAAGACCACTGCTTAAAAAGTATGGGGAGTTTATATTATGCGACCCAAAAATATTCCATTACCCAAATCAGGTGGACCACCATTCAGAGCGCTAGGAGAACCGATGACGGGATTCCAGTACGACGACTGTAATACGATCGCAGTATCAAAGAACTCAATCCAAAGACATTGCAAAATTCCATGATTGGTTTTATTCGAAAGAGGACCCAGTGCACTAGAAAGTGGTAAAGGTGCAGACATTCTTCGGGGCTGGATTTCAGAAATATTTTATTGTGGCTAGCGAGGAACGGGAGAATAATTCTGATATTGAGGAGGACGAAGATGCTTTACTCCGAGACCAGTTATTACGGGATTTTGCAGCGACAGACGAGCAGGACAAGGGGCGGCTTGAGATTGCGGATTCCAAGACTGAGAAGAGCGACAATACTGGTTGGTGGAACTTTGTGCAGTGGCGGCCGCACTTTGGCAGTCGCAATATCAGACGTATCGCTCATGCAAGTAGGTTGCCCGACCGAAAGGACAAGCAGCTCCAACGCGCTAGAGAAATCTGTGGATGGGCTAAGCAGCTTAAATGATGACACCCCGTATTGGCTGCGAACTGCTAACTCTACTGAGAAGGTTGAAAACCGACCCATGGTGCGGCTGCAGAACGAGGATAGTTTGGACCGGTATATTGCTTACATGAAACGATTTGCGTGCTATTTATTATGAGTATATGTGGCTCAGAAGGAAAGGGAGGCTCTTGAATGCGATGTTGATAGGAGCGATGAAGAGTTAGTAGATAACAATGAAGAATTTCTTCCAGACATAGTTGGGGAAAGAGGTGGGACGCGTGAGACTGCTAACAGTGTACAGAGTGATAGGATGAAGGATTGCTGTGAACTAACCAAATTTAACCCGGAGCAGAAGCAGCTACTCGAGGATATGCTCCAATCATTGGTGTCAGGAGAAGACGATGAAACCCAGGTCCAGAAAATGAGCGCGCTAATGATGTCCATGATATTGCAGAGCTTGAAAGGGTTTGATAGGTTTGATAGTCCCATGATTCATTTTGCGGCAGTTTTAGGAATAGTCGAGGACGAGAAACGCTTACGACGTGGTGATGAATATTCATACATGCTTGCGGAGTTCATGTACTGCATTAGAGTTTTGTTTGTGGAGCATGCGCTGCCGGCAGCCACGAGAGGAGAGCAGACTAGAGATAACATCGACCAGTTTCTCGAACTTCGAAGGGGATATCTCGTGGTTGGAAGCTATAGCCCGTGCAGCTTTCTGATTAAGATGCTGGGTTATGGAAAGACAATTGAGCATGCAGAAAATCAATCAGCCCAGCATTACTTGGAGCCAGTCTGAAACGAACCGTCCAGACGGCGACATATTAGAACTTCATGGAAAGCCGCTACCAATCAGACGGTTTAAGGATGCCATCCATACATGATCCAGGAGGCCGAAGACATACTGTGGCAGGATCTGATGTGGGTTGGACAGAAGAAGGACCGGTTCGAGATTGATCTGGATTCGATGCAGGACGATCTGTCGTTGGCTGCACGTGGTGCTTCATGGGTGACCAACGAAGCCAATGGCATGAAGGATAAGACGCAGTGGATGATGGACCGAATTTTGAAGGCTCCAAAAGACCAGCAGCTGTGGGACCGAAAGGGAAACACATGGCGAATGACTAGGGTCTGCGGGTACTCGTGCGGCCCAAAAGTTTCCACAGGGTCTGTGCACAACAGCCAATTAGATTGTAGGAATCTACCAAGCACCATGTACTTGTACCCGAGTACACGCGTAGAAAATGTACACGCGTAGAAAATGAGAGTGAATGAAGCAATGAAGTAATGCTCAACAATGGCTGAAATCTCAATACCACTACGTGCTGCAATTATTACCTTGCGTGTATACATGAACGCATCATATGGAGAGATTGAAAAGAAGCTTGGAATCTCAGCTGACTCTATTGCATATATATGGCACCAAACTGTTAAAAGGGCAGGGAATACTGAAATTCACAACCTTCTCCAACACCTCGAATCAAAGCCACGAAGCGGAAGACCACAGACAATTCAAAAGGATTCTGAAGAGTCACTACGCATATGATCTTTGCTACTTGCAAATCCATTTGACACTTTTCAACAAGTTATTAATAAGGAAAATCTACCCTACGCACGATCAATTGTCGAACGAGTTGCAAAGAATCACTCAAGTGTTGAAATTCCACAACCTATTGTACGGAAAAACATCTGCCTCAAGCCCTACTTGGATAATATCATTCCTTCAGTACGATGGAAATTCTGCAAATGGGCACTATCTGAACTTGAAGCTGGATCAATTTTTATTTTCTCAGACGAATCATATATCAATTTCGGAGGGAATCCACATAAGAAACGACGGATAACAGTTCAACGGGGTCAAACAGCAGAGAGCATGGCAATTCAACAGAAGAAATCTTTATTTGTTTTGGGGAGCAATGAGTTCAGAAACCTCTATCTTACGCTTCTCGTTCATGGATTCCTGAAAGTATAGAAGAGAAGCAGATACATGTGCAGAAACTACGAGAGATAAATGCATATTGGAAATCAAAAGCAGAGAATGAACTTGTTAGAGCAACAACAGTTGGAACTCTTGAGTACGGATATATGGAAACTCTAAATGCAGATATTCGGAATGGCAAAAGCAAATGGAAAAAGGCACGAGTTGCTTCACAAGAGTTTGGAGATATAGAGACATAGAGTAGAGGACGGCAATCAGAAGGGCAAGAAGTTTCAAAGGGCGGGATTGATTGGTTTCTATATCGAGAGATGGTTTTTATTCCTCTTCTCTTCCCCTACTTTCGAAAAGTAAAGGCTTTACATCCTACAAAACGAGTATAGTTTGTGGATGATAATGTAAGTCTTCATTTGAAGGCTCACCGATCATTGGAAGATTATATGAAGAAGGAGGGAATCTATAGAGTGAAATTTTGGCCTCCAAACTCTCCCGATTTGCACCCTATTGAAAATGCCTTTGATTATCTCAAGGATCAGGTTGACGGCTATACACCATTAAACGGAGGGAAGTTTGAGAGAGCTCATGCACGGGTATTTCTTGAGGAAGAATGGGGAAAAAAATGGATGGGAAATCTACACAATTATGTGCTTCGTTTAAGGACAAGTTGGAGTGGTGTATTGCAGTCAATGGGGGGAACAACTTTCGTGGGTAGATCAGTACAAGTACGTAGAGTATGTACATGCATTTTCTCCAAGTACTTACATGCCCCACTTATTACACACAGACCCTGTGGAAACTTTTGGGCCGCACGAGTACATGCAGCTGCAGAGGCGATTTAAAGAACTAGGGCTGGCAGCGGGCCATACCACTCCAGGACCGCCAGCCCGCGGGGATCAGGTTTCGGAATGGATTTCTGCAGGAACGGAATATCTATATTATCAATGGACGGATGTGTTATGTCACGAGGTATCACAAGTCACTGGCATTGTTCAGGGAAGCCAAGGTGATACCACGATTTCTTCTGTGGCGGGTCGGGCAACTATTCGTAGTGTATCTGGCGTATGTGTAACCATTCTCGGAAAGTCTCGACCAGAAAACGAATGGACTCCCGCGAATCTCTGGCATGACAAAAATGGATCGTGGACGACCGTGCAACTAACCAAGGTATTGACGCAGGAGACAGCTACTCGAATGGGGATACGACTGACGACCAGTTTCGACTATTTCAACCATATGAGATAGATAAATGTCCTTATATTATTTGGACCTCTCATGGTGTACATACACACCCACCTCCCCCACCATCTCAAACACCTCAAAAGCTTGTTGATAGCATCATTTCTGTTATTCAACGAATTAACGACCTATCTCTGACAACAGGTAATAGATCACTAATACATTAGAAATGCATTGCTAATACATTACAGCTGCATTGCTTAAAAATCCTTTACTCCTTGACTTTTGCTTAAAGTAGAATGGCGTTACATTAAGTGACATTCATAAGAGCCTTATAAACACAGATAAGCTAAGCTTAATCTTAAAGAAGCAACAGATGCTACTATATCCTTATGGCCAGCAGGTTGCAGCAATTCAACACAAGTTGCAAATGAGCCACCAAAACAAAGAAATTTGTATAACGTGCATGTATAACGTGCATGTATAACGTGCATGTATAACGAAAGTGCCAAACAAGCGAAAGTGCCAAAATCATGCGGTGACCAACCCCCCCAACTAAATGTTAAATTCCTCCACAACAAAACATGAGCCATAAAAATGATGAAAGCAAATTCGTGCTAGCTATCCAAGCTATGCAAAGCGACCCAAATTTGCGCCTGCGAGTTGCAGCTAGGATCTATTCCGTAGACCACCGCAAGCTACGTCACCGTTTACAAGGCGTACCTTCACGACGCGATATCCAAGCCAACTTACGGAAATTAAGTAACCTAGAGGAATCAGTTCTTGTTCAGTATATACTTGACTTAGCTGCTAAAGGGTTCCCTCCTCAGTTGTCTATTATTGAAGATATGGCAAATCGACTACTTGCAACACGCGACGCGCCACGCGTCAGGTCACGTTGGGCTTCAAACTTTGTTAAGCCCCATGTAGAGCTCCGGACACACTTCCAGCGAAAATACGACTACCAGAGGGCTAAGTGCGAAGATCCAGAAGTCATTCGTGGCTGGTTTGAGCTTGTATGTGTAATGGTGGGTGCACCAGATGTAAGAATCTAGCCACCCAAGGAAGGGATGATTTTACTAAGACAACACACTGTCTTAGGAAACAGAGCCAAAGGGTTGTAGCTTAGACTATTCCACAACGCAGCAATCAGGTGTGTGATGTAGTGAAGTGGTTCAGACAAGTTGCAACAAATGTTGAGTCTGGGAACTCAGGGGTAAGTCAGAGGTTAACACCTCACTGACTTTTCAAAAACAGAGAATAACAAGATCAATGCTTGGAAGCTTGGAAAAGACGTAGAAGTATGTGCTAGTCGATTTACTGTATTGCCTGCTTGCCCTTTCTTAAGGAAAGGGCAATCCTATTTATGCCAAAGGAGTGTAGTTCTGTCATTTTCCAAGACTTTCCATGACTAACCAGGCTTGGTAAATGTATTAGAAATCAAGTGCGACCCACAACTAGCTTGCTAATCATGTAGTGAACGTAAGAGAATCCCATAGAACCATCTCTTGGGTTTCTAGCCTATAGGAAGTGAAAAGGAGGTCCAAGGTCAGAGTACCTATAGATAAATTATGTCATAACTTAACCAATCTTGTGGGTAACTAAGGAGCGATGACGTGTAATAAATCATAGAGGGTTGTAGAAGCTTCTAGAGCTATCGTTCATGTTCCTAGGCCTCTAGTTGGTAGAGATATGCCATGTGGTAGTATTGGCCCACCCCCTTAAGGAGGAGATTTTCTTAATAACTTGTTCAATGAGTGTCCAAATAATATGCCGTGATGTATGTAGCATAAACAGATGTAGTAGAAGGGTTTGCAGCAATCGTTGAGTAGTATTGCTTCTGTTGTTGGTGTGATAAGCCAAGATATGTATGGTGACTTGTAGGTTTGAGGAGGAGATTTCTAAGTTTGCTCTTGAGTTTGATAGCAAACTGAGTGCAACGAATGTCAGTATGACAGTATGGAACACAATTCTAAAGTATGGCATCAACAATGCAGATATCTACAACTTTGATGAGACTGGGTTTATGATGGGCGTCATCTCAAGCGCAACAGTAGTAACGAGCTCAGATGGGCGGGCAAAGGCAAAAAAGGTGCAGCCTGGCAATCGGGAATGGGTTACAGTAATCCAAGGCATTAGTTCTCAAGGTTGGGCAGTGCCGCCATTTGTCATTGTGGCAGCTAAAAACCACCTTGCATCTTGGTATGAGAATAGCGGATTTCCAGCAGATTGGGTAATCGCTGTTACTGCAAATGGCTGGACTACAAACGAGAGAGGTATGGATTGGATTCAGCATTTTGAGAAGCACACAAAGCCCTGGAGTGTTGGTGGTTATCGCTTGTTGGTCCTTGATGGTCATGAGAGCCACCACTCAGACAAGTTTGAGGAGTACTGCAAAGAACACAACATTATTACGCTTTGTATGCCTACTCACTCTTCCCATATACTCCAACCACTTGATGTTGGCTGTTTTGGCCCATTAAAGAGAGCTTACGGTCGGCAAATTAAAGATATGATGCGGGCTCATATTATTCACATTACTAAGGATGACTTCTTTCCTGCCTTCCACGCTGCATTTAACATTGCAATGACAGAAAGCAATATTCAGGGAGGGTTCCGAGGTGCTGGGCTTCTTCCATTTAGCCCTGAGAGTGTAATATCTACACTTGACCTTAGGTTTAAGACGCCAACACCTCCAACCTCTCGCCCAAACACCGCTCAACCATGGGTTTCTCAGACACCAAATAACCCAACTGAAGCTGTATCACAGTCTACTTTCATTAAAAACTGAATTGCGCATCATCAAAATAGCTCTCCAACCTCAATCTATGCAGCTGTTGACCAGTTTACAAAGGGTGCATCGCAAATAATGCATCAATTAGCATTGTTAAAAGCAGAGAACCAAAACCTGCGACAGGCAAATGAAGTGCTAAGCAAGCGCCGGAGAGCTAAAAAAACACGACTACAGCAAGGAGGATCACTTAGTCAACAGGTAGCACAGGAGCTACAGGACGAGAGGGACGTTGTGCAGCAAGTAGAGCAAGAAATAAGGGCAAGTAGTGGTCGGAAGCCAAGGGAAGAAACCCATGCACGTCGCTGTGGCAAGTGTGGTGAGACTGGACACAATGCACGCACTTGTCAGATTGTAATAGACAGGTCTGAGGAAGAGGACTCCGAGTAGTTTTAATTAATTTATATTGTTGTGGTGGATTTATCGCAATTCTTATGGGGTAGTCGCGATATTTTGGCACTTTCGCTTGTTTGGCACTTTCGTTATACATGCACGTTAACCTAAATTTTATTATATACTTTCCATTACCCCAATACTGCGTCCTATTGTCCAGCAGAAAGAGCATCCATCACTGACTGTACCATGGACGCCATTGCAAACCAAATCAAGAGTTTGGCTTCAGGTGCCGACAAGGCTCAATGCAAGGCTATCCTTGTCTCCTTGCGTGAGATGTCTGATTCCATTGAGACTCCCCCGGAAACCATACAATGACTGGTATATTTGGTGAGTTCCGTTAGAAGTTGACTCGCGTAAGGAACTACTGGTAAGTAATGTTGAATTAACAACTTATTCTAGGCATTGCCACTCACCGCAATTCGTATTGGGATTGACCTAGACCTGTTTCAACTTTTGGTGAAAGACAAAACGCTGGCGTCTGTGATCGACTTATCCACTAAGACTGGGGCGGCACCAGTCCTTCTAGGTGACTATTCCAGTATCTCTTCAAATTTCAGAGATATAAAGCTAACTAATTGACCTTGTTATAGCCCGTATCCTTCGCTACTTAGCTTCAATAGGAATTATCAAGGAAACAGGAAAGGACACTTTTACATCGAATAACATCACTGAAGCAGTTGCTCTTCCCAGATTGGCGGGAGCTCTTTACAACTAGTAAGTGCAATCATTCCGTAGATTCATCATATTCTGATTCATTATCTAGCTTTTACACCACTTATCCGGTTTGGTCAGTTCTGCCAAATTTCCTCAAAGAACACAAATACCAGGATGTGGAGGAAAACACTGATACCGCACTGCAAAAAGCGTTCAACACAGAGCTGCCATTTTTCACCTGGATGCTGACTCAGCCTAAAACACTGGCACACTTTAACCAGTACATGTCTGTCCATCATACGGGCAAACACTCATGGCTTGAAGTTTATCCACTGGAGGAGAAGATTGAAGGGCTTAAGCCAGAGCAAGTGTTTTTTGTGGATGTTGGTGGTGGAATTGGTACTCAGTCAATTGCTCTGCGTAAGAAACACCCTGAGTCATTTTGGAAGATACGCCAGATACCGTTGCACAAGCTGTTGCATACCCAGATGCAGTGTGGGTAATAGTTTCGCAGTTTCACAGTTTCACAGTCCGTTTCGCAGTTTGTAGTTCAGTTCATAGATTCCTATTAAACAGTCCATCTGGTTTCGACCTCCTGAAAACTGTGAAACTGTTGGTTTATTAGTCAGTTTAAGACACTTTCATTATGCTTAAGAAATATAGTGGAGTTTTAGTTATTAAGCCCCTTTTCAGTTATTGAGGTTCACTTCTCACAGTCATTGATTCAAGATGTCTTCTCAGTCTTCTGCTGTATTATCTGATCTTCTGAGTGATGATTTTGACAAGGAAGAATCGAAACCTTCTACTCCTACTTCTGGACACCAATCACGCTCACATTCACGGTCATGTAAATGACACGCCTGTATGTCCTGGGTATGGGATCACGTTCCTGATACAGAAGAAGGGCAAGCTTGTATTTGGACTAATGATAGTGGCCGTTCTGTATGGAAGTGTAAGTTCTGCCCTCAGACTTATATGGAATCTGGAGGAACCAAAAACATTGCCCGACACCTAAAAGGTCATAATATCTATGAAGAACAGACACATTCTCTAGCTGTAGAAGCCACTATTCGCCATGCCTTCAAAAGAGGTGAAGAAGCATCACATTCACGCCGGCGCCTTAATTCTAATGATGGAACTGGAGATCAGCTGGACCCTGGAACTCTGGAACAACTCTTTGTGAAATGGATTACCTCTTGCAATATCTCCTTCCGGATGGTGGAAAGAGATGAATTCCGGGCCCTTTTACAGTATCTAAATCCTAATATCAACACCTGGTTGCCTGCTACACACAACACAATTCACGGTTGGATTATGAGGACCTTTCAACAAGAAAAGGAATATACTAAACTTGCCCTTCAATCAGTACTGTCTTCCATCCTCTTTACCTTGGATCTCTGGAGCTCACAAAACTCGCACGCCTTACTTGGTATCGTCAGTCATTTTACTGATGAACACGGGAAACTCCGGTCTTTAGTTCTGGGTCTTCCGGAGCTTCAGGGTGAACACAGTGGAGAGAACATGGCTTCAGTGTTTATAGACCTTTTAGAAGACTACCAAGTTGCTTCGAAGGTTGGATATATGATGACAGACAATGCAGACAACAATGATACTATGATGGAGCACCTCTCAGCTGGTATACTTTATTTCCTTTATTGTTTTCCATCTTAAAGATCCAAGTTATAGCTAATACTTATTTGGACAGCTCTTCAGGAACAACACAATCTCACCTACGATCCTCTTCATTACCGATTGCGATGCAATGGACATATCATCAACCTAGCTGCTCAATCCTTTCTCTTCAATACTGAAACTGAAACCCTCAAGCGATTACTGGTGAGCAATTCTCTTTCTGTTCCCTTTGCTAGAATGACTACTAATAAATGACTTGTACCTTAGGCGCACGTATCTATTACATGCGTAATATCCTACACGACTTCCCTGACGAAAAATGTATCACAATTCTGAAGAATACCGCAGCTGCTTTAGCTCCAGGCTCAGTTATTCTCATCGATGAGATGGTCATTCCTTGTAAGGACACAGGGCACCCAGCTCACAGTAATAGCATATGAGAGTGCGAGTCGGAGGCTAAACGGATGCTATCCTATAGGTCTACTACGAAGGATACAAAAAAGATGAAGAGAGGAACCCCCGTTGGGTCAATCTCCTTAAGTACCCGCAGTGTTGCTAGTAGTTCAAACAGTTCAGTTCAGTTCAAATTTGAGGCTGAACTGAACGCCCCACAATATGAAAATGCGTGAACTGAACTGAACGCCCCACTTTATGGTATTGAACTGAACTGAACTGAACTGAACTGAACGAACGCCAGTTCATTAAAACTATTTTGCTGTCATCTAGGAACCTGCAAGCCAAGTAGTGCAATGGCTTCCACAGCTCTTTAGACATTCTAATGCCTCAATGGTCTCTGCGCCTAGCCTATTTCTTCTCTCTGTAACTGTAATTCCTGCACCTGAAAACAGACGTTCTGGCTCTGCTGACATAGCTGGTATTGACAATATATCAAATGCCATAACTGATAGATTTGGATACGTTGCACTGTGTAGGCTCCATCCACCAAGTGATAGAATCCACCTCAACGGGACAACAAACCCCTTGGCAATATCGTGAATATTCATCAACTATAGGTGCTTGTCTTGCCTTCTCAGTTCTCCACTTTGCAAACCCAGTCTTTGGCGTGAGCGGAGTTATTGGAAGTATAACTTCTGTACTTTTGTACTGAGATTGCCAAAAGTCCTGCACTGTCTTCTTTGCATCCGCTACCCAGATAGGGTCCCAGTTGTCTTCGAAATAGCTCCATTTTTGACTTGGAATGAGAATCATTGCTGCAATGTATACAGGGCTTCGATCTGTAAGGCTATAGTACTTATCCAGCTTTGCCCAGCCAGAGTTAATGCAAGGAATCATAAATGAATCTGAAGCGTAGGTTGTCTTGCCATCTTCAAGCTTCTCTAATATATAATCCATAGATGGTAGGACTCTTTCCAAAGTGGCACTACGGCCTTCTGTAGCTTTTGTAGCTTCATAAAAGTCTCCAAGAAACCCATGAATGTTACTTAAATTAGCCCAATCAGAACTAGACAATACATCGCCTACTAAATCACCTCCTACTTGAAAGCAATATAGGTCGATAGCAGGTTTAACGTCTTCATGAAGAGCTGAAGTTATCATTGAAAACCAAGAGTTCCACCGTGTCGTATTGTCTCGAAGTAATCGACGTCCTTGACTGAGTTTCTGAAAGGCTAATCGCCGTTGTGGAGACCTTTGAATATAAACTACAATGTTATGTAACTTTCCAAGAGGGCCTTTTCGACGCCAAGTCTCCATTTCGAGCTGTGTAGGAATATACGAAGAACTTAGGTTGTTTGTCTCTGAAAGAGCTTCATCTTCAGTTGAGAAAAGAAAAGCCTGAGCTGTAAGATTGATAATGTGGCCATTGCAGCGAAGACGGTGTTGCTTTGCATTATATGGAATATGGCGCTCCTCTAAAGCTATACTAGTGTTAATATTAATAGTATAAATATAGGAGAGAGTACTAACTAGCTAAAAGACTCTGCATCATCGTCTCGTTGTTTTCTGCATTATCCATCATAAAATACCCAACTTTACTTGCAATTCCAAACTCATCAATCACTTTTAGAATGAGCTGTGATTGGTTTGCCCCTGTATGCCGACCTTCTAATTCTCGTAGCGCTAGAACTGACTCTCAAAGCTGACCATCTTCTGCAAAGTAATGGGCTATTATTCCAAGTAGAGCGAGGGAGTTTGTTGACGTCCACAAATCAACTGTAAAATGAACCTTTGAAATAGCCCCATGGACAGCTTGTTGTACTCGACGTTTCTCTACACGAAAGGACTCCATAGTCCAGTTACGCACAGTTTCATGGTTAGCTGGAAGTGCACTCTCAGCTTCTGGGTTTAGAAACATAAGAAGCTCTCGGAATTCTGGCCTTTCTGACATTCGTAGAGGAAGAGAACAGCGTGCAATCCATCATATAAAGAGCTGTTGAAAAGTTGCAATATCAAAAGACGTGTCAAGCTTACGACGCTTCGTGTAAAGCAAGGCCTCTTGACCTCGTTCAAAAGCCTCTGCAATTGACATGGTTTGTGCAAGCAACTTAGTCCCTTCCTTTGGATCCGTAATAGAGTGACACTTTAACAAGTGCTTCTTTGGGCCTCTCGTTCCACCTGCCTCATGATACTCCTTCTTGCAAATCCCACAATGCCAAACAATCACTTGTTGACCATTGAAGTATACTGTATTTGGATCACCTGGCATATGCGACCAGATAAAGGAAGTGCGAGAGCGCTTCTGGTTTGAAGTAATGGAGCTGAGTTGTGATGATGAAGATTGACAATCAAGGCCTGAGCTAGTAACATCTTGGTTTAATAACTTAGATTGTATACTAGGTGGTAGTGATTGCTCAGTTGAAGCCTGTGACGACATTTTGGTAACTTATCAAATGTAACAAAATTGCGCCCGTGAGCATCCAAAAGTCCCGGGGAAAAAACAATTCAGCGCTAAAAGCTATGGTAATATATTATGTCTGGCCCACTATTAACCCCCCAAGAACTGTCAGTTCATTCAGTTCAAAACAGTCAGTGCGGACAACTTGAACTGAACGCCCCACTATATGAGAACTTGTGAACTGAACTGAACGCCCCACTTATAAAAGCCGAACTGAACTGAACTGAGCCGATTTGAACTGATGAGCCGATGAACTATTAGCAACACTGAATACCCGAAACGGGTCCGACTCGGATAACCTGCCTTCACCCTCACCACGTGACCGTGACTTGTCCGACTCAGATACCTTCCGTCACTGAGGGAGAGGAACCCCCGTTGGGTCAATCTCCTCAAGTACCCGAAACTGGTCTGACTCGGATAACCTGCCTTTACTCTTATCATGTGACCATAACCTGCCCGACTCAAATGATGGCCACATTTGCAGCAGTGGAGCGAACCCAGGAGCAATGGCACAACTTGGTTGAGGCGGCAGGGCTGAAGATCACCAAAATATACCTTTACGATGGCAATGTAGGCGACAGTGTTATTGAAGTGGTGAAAGAGTGAAAACAAAGCTAGATATCTAAAAAAACTCTAGCTAAATACACTGTTATTGTCATAATCTAAAACACAGTCTTGGAATAGTGTGTCAACACCCGTAAAGAAGGTGAGCATAGCGACGGCAGTGCCTTCAGCTCGATGTGTGACAAAGCAATAGCCAACTTAGATCTTTGCACAGCCCCTTTTGACTGCCAGGAATCACAAGAAAAGCTAAATGTGTAAGGACACAGGGCACCCAGCTCACAGTAATAGCATATAGGAGTGCGAGTCGGAGGTTAAATGGGTGCTATCCTATAGGTCTACTATGAAGGATACAAAAAAGATGAAGAGGGAACCCCGTCAGTAGGTTTCCCTCAATACCTGAAACGGGTCCGACTCGGTTGGACTGCCGTTGTCCTTCACACGTGACCGCCACAGGTCCACATCTGTTGTAATATGTCACATAATCTCAGCACCACTTCCCCACAATTTCAGGCAGCAATAGATAGACAGGAATACACACGCATATTACTCAACAGTTATGAGCCCGGAGCAACTCCAAGACGCATTTTGAAGCCTATAGAAACCCGAACGGACCAAAATCAAGTCCTGTGTCCTGGAGTCGAAAAAACCATCATTATGGCGACCCTACAGAAGGCGGGGGTGGTCCTCACAAGCCCTAGAGACTGGGACGAGTGGATAGAGACTATCAAAACTGCTTCAATGAAGGCAGGAGTATGGGGGTATATCGATCCATCAATCGAGGACCCTCCTACACTCCTACAGCCCGTTCGACCTATTCCTGAGTTCGTACGGAGTGCCACGCAAGCTGGTGGTGGTGTTACTGCTCAAACAAGACCTGGAGTGTCAACAAGAGCTTCAGGTAGCCAGACCATCCAACCTTCAGTAGAAGGCCAACAGCAATTAACGCCAATTATGTACGCATCTCTTACAGAAGATCAGAAGGAACAGCTTCGAAACCTACAAGCTGATTTCCAATATGAGCGCAAGGTGTGGGAAAAGCAGGAGGAAGCAATTCAGGGGCTTCGCTCTAAGATCCAAGAAACCATCAAACGCGACTTCATACCCTATACCTACAATTGCGATACTCCGTATGATATGCTTAGAAAGGTACGAGACCAGTTCGCACCTACTCAAAGAGCTAGAATCAGAGAATGGAGACTAGAATGGCAAAAGGCTGCAAAAATGCAAAGAGGCAAGGACCTTGAAGACTGGCTCCTAAACTGGGAGAATGTATACACTCAAGGCCGTACGCTACAGGCAACAGAGGTTATCGACCCTCACGACGCTATCTATACCTTCCTTGATGCAATAGGACCTTGCGAATTCCGAGGACCATGGAAACACAAGCTAGAGAAGCAGACAAAGTCGTACGAATTTGAGGAGGTCCTACGACAGTATAGAACCAACCATAGGCAAGAGAGATTCACCCAGAAACCTAGGGGGGAACATGGAGTTTTCGCACTACAAGAGGATGACAATAGCGACCTACAGCCAACGCTCCAAGGCCGTACGAACAACCTACAACAAGGTCAGCAAGGTCAGAGAGGCAGAAAACAGAAAAATCAGGCTCGACTAGACTGCCCTTACGGAACAACACACAAGTGGCGGGACTGCCTCTATGTGATGAAGTCAAAGCGTACGAGGCAATGGCGCCCAAATAAAGAGATTGAAGTTAAAGTAGAGGCCTATATAAGTGACAAACCAGGATTCCAGTACGTTATCCAAAAGGCAGAAGAACAGAACAATTTCAACAACCCGAATGGAGTACAATCCCGTACGAATACAGATCCACCTATGTCTTTCACTACAGTCTTCCAAGTCTCCCAAGGACTAAAGCCGAAAACCTCAGCCTATGAGCTCTCTAAAAGCATAATTCTCG